CCCAGAGACTAGCGCCCCTACACAGGACAGCCAGGCGGATTTAAGCAATCCAGCAGCCTGGAAACAATCGGCGGAGACTGATATGTTAGAGGCGTTTCAAGATGACGACGATCCATTTGGATTAGGCCAGATGCCCCAGCGGGGTAAATCGCCAGCTGTCACCGTGAGCAAGGCTGATGACGACGATGACTTCCTTGGTGACCTCGGAAAACCTGTTGAGGATGTCAGACGCCGTGAAAGAGTACCAACTCCTCAGCAGGCTCCACCCTCACCGGATGAGTCTGAGGGGCCAGTATCTGACGACCCGTGGGACAAAGCCGTGAACGAACTTGTTGATATGGGCTTCAGCGCTGAAAACTCCAGACGGGCTCTGACCGAGAGTGGATCTGGACTTAACATCCAAGCCGCGGTAGGGTGGTTGTTAAATGACGCTCATCGAGTAGCAAAAGAGAAGGCGCAAGGGCGATCAGGTTCTCGCCCAAGCGAACCAAGTCGGGAAGGTAACTCAAGTAGAGCACAAGCTCCCCCAGAGACGTCTAGAAAGGAAGCGATTCCGTCTTGGATGCGGCAAGAGAGAGGCCAATCGCAGACAAGACGTGAGGACAGCCGTTCGCCAGCTAGTGACAGCGACGTGGCCGCAAAGACTGCTGCCGTAGGGAGTAATTTATTCAAAACTGCAAACTCTCTATGGAAAACATCCCAGAAAAGGGTACAAAAAGCCGTTGCTGAATATCAGCAAGATGTAGACCCAAGCCAACCGAAGTGGATGCGTGATACCGGCGCAACAGAGGGACAAAGACCCTCAGCGAAGGGGCCTTTACCGAGTGAACGAGGACGGGGGGAGCCGTCGAGTTCGTCTGTGACAGACGAAGCTTTGATGCTTGAGATCGGGTCTCACCCACCACCAATACGCAACCTTCGAACTGAGCCGAGTGATCGAGCACCATCTTCGACTTCTTCCTCTCGAGGTCCCTCACCGGCAGTTTCTAATGCAACAAGCGGGCGGTCTACACCGTTGCCCAGGTGGCAGCAGGTAACACCAACTTCTGCCATGGATGCTAAATCTCGACTTACCAAACAGGCATTGGAAGAACAGTCAGCGCAAGCATACGTGAGTCCAGCGCGGCGAAAGAAAGCGACACTTTCCCCAAAACCAGCAGAGGAGCCAGATTTGCTTTTTGGAGATTCGAATGGCAAACAACCGAACCTTCCTTCCCGACCTGAACCACCAAGAACAAATGTCCCAGCTACCAAAGCGCCACAAACCAGACAACCAAAACCATCTGCGCCAATCCCCGTACGACCGAAGGCCCCCGAACGAACCATCCCGCCAGTGTCTCCATCAGCTCTGGCGGTGTCCCACCAACATCGTCTGGCTGGCACAGCACATTTTAAACGGGGTGACTACGCCTCAGCTAAAGATTCATACACCCAGTCTCTATCATCCTTACCACAAGGCCACCCTATTACCATCATACTTCTCTGTAACCGCTCACTTACCGCCATCAAGACGGGTGATCCCAAAACCGCAGTCTCTGACGCTGACACAGCGCTCTCTCTAATTGGCCCAAGCCGTGGTAGCAATGAAGTGATAGATCTGCAGGACGAGTCCGCCGCAGACAGTAAGAAAAGCATGACAGAACTCTACGGGAAGGCATTGATGCGGAAGGCGGAAGCCCTTGAACATATGGAGCGCTGGTCTGATGCTGGTGCCGTATGGCGACAAGCTGTGGAGGGTGGTGCTGGCGGTGCGATCGCTATCCAAGGAAGACTACGCTGCGAGAAAGCATTCGCACCTAAATCTAAGGCTCCAACACCACGTCCCCGAGCGACACCTCCGTCTCGCCCTACTGTAGTTAAGGACTCTGAGGCCGTGGCGCGAATGCGGGCTGCCAATGCTGCCGCGGATAAGGCAGATGACGAAAAGTTCGAGCTGAGTGATAGTGTCGACGCGCGAATAGCAGCTTGGCGAGATGGAAGGAGAGATAATCTAAGGGCACTGCTGGGAGGGCTGGATAATGTCCTCTGGGAAGGAAGCGGGTGGAAGAAGGTTGGCATGCATGACTTGATTATGAATGGGAAGGTCAAGATCAACTATATGAAGGCGATCGCCAAGGTCCACCCCGATAAGGTATGCTATTCATATTCTGGCTGGCTGATATTTTCGACTAATACATTTCTTCACAGTTATCACAGGGCGCCAGTACGGAGGTGAAAATGATCAGCTCGGCTGTTTTTTCTACTCTCAATGAGGCGTGGGATAAGTTCAAGGCGGAGAACGGGATGTAATTACGCTGGGACAATATTTTGTAAATAAACAATTGGACGGAACGATTTGAATACTATAGCGTACAGCAGATAAGTTTCAATAGTATTGTTCCCATCTTCGCGTGTCAAGTTCTTTCTTATACCGTACTTCAAGTGATTTGATTCGGGTGGGGGGTCGTAGGGTCCCGCGGACAAACTGTGCACGACCGTCTGGAGAAAGTTGCCGTCTGTTTAAGGTTTTAGCTCACCAACTTGGGAGCTACACGGCATGACGTATACGACGATTGCCCGTGACGAAGAAATGAGCGAGCTAAACATAACAAGGAGCCGGAGGGATAATTCCTGTTGTATTTCATAATTATTTCCATTGCCGGTTCTTACACTTACGGTCATTGCTCATGACAACCTCCACCGCCGTCCTCGTATCTCTGTTTGTTGTCTCTGGCCCCAGCACTTAATCGCAATGGCTTGGCAGGATCAAGCAACCGCCGTGAGCTCAATCGGCTTGCGATTGACGGCTTACGTCTTTCTCAGATGGGTATGAAATCCAGTATGCGCCTTTGAGAAGCTTGATCTAACAAGAAAACCAGATCCCTACTCCCGTATGTCCACCTATCATCTACACGCTGTTCGCCCTTTATATCCCATCGTTTATCGCGTCCTATCTGGGCCGGTCCCAGTATGATATTATCGCGGATGAGGTTGATGTGAAGGTCCACAACACCCAAACAAACGAACAACCACAATCATACGCGGACGCTGTGGCGGGCTCTAGCCCGGATAATGACGACGGGGGTGGCTCTACAGCCGCCCAGGAATATCTTGATGTCGAAGAGATTATCATTCTCGAGAAAAAGGGCCCCAAGATATGGAAGGCTCTCTTGACAGGTCTCCCAAGCCCGACTAGCCGTTTTATATCAATCACAACTTTTCTCATCAATCTGGTACTAGTTCTGGCAGCTACGGATCTGATATACCGTGCGAAGGTGCAATATCCTAGCAACGACCTTTCATTTGCGCGCATTGGATATGTGTCGGATTCGGAGGCGAAGCTACTCGTACGGGAGCCAGATCGAGCCAACCTACCGATATATGTCTCTGTCCGCAACCTGGATTCACACAGTGTCGTGGCAGACTCTGGATGGCGAAGCTATGGACCAATAACTAACCTCAGCAATGACACGGATTACACTTCGACGATTTCTATTCCACTTCCGAGAACCCTAGGAAAAGCTGGAAGGACCAAGTATGAGTATGTGACGTCGAATAACCACAAAGGATTCATTACAAGTGCGCCGAAGATTGGCTATACCAGTGAACCCGATGGAAAGTTTACTTTCTTGACATCTAGTTGCATTATCCCAAGGTTTCCATACAATCCATTCAAACACCCCTTGAGCATCCCAGGATTTAAGCATCTGGCGAGGGTTCTATCATCTTTGGACGCGCAGTTTATGCTCTTCCTCGGAGACTTCATTTACATCGATGTTCCAAAGCGGTTTGGTTACCATGTCGAGGACTATCGCCGCGACTATCGACAAGTCTACGCCTCCCCAGATTGGCCAGCAGTTTCACAGAACCTGAGCTGGATCCACGTCATTGACGACCATGAAATCACCAATGATTTTGATTTAAACACGGCGGACCACGAGACAAGTCTTTACCAAACAGCAATTGAGCCCTGGAATAACTATCAGGGTGCAGTCAATCCCCCAGTCGCCCGCAAGTCCGGTATCTACAACAGGGGCCGAACAGACACTACATACTTTGAGTTCACCCAGGGCCCAGCGACCTTCTTTATGATGGATACTCGGAGGTACAGGGACCTCAATGCCGGTCTACCCGCCAATGACACTGGGAAATCCATGCTAGGAAACGAGCAACTGCAAGATCTACTCGCCTTCCTTGCCCGACCAGTGCCTCGGGGCGTGAGATGGAAGTTCGTGATCAGCAGTGTTCCTTTCACCAAGAACTGGAAGGTCAACAACCTGGATACTTGGGCGGGATTCTTGCATGAACGCCAAAAAATCCTTGAGGCTATGTGGGACGTTGGTCTGAGAGGTGGCGTTGGAGTTGTGGTGTTGTCTGGTGATCGCCATGAGTTCGCCTCTACGGCGTTCCCACCCCCTCTAGGCGGAAAGTGGCCAATTAGTGCAACGGTGCACGAGTTCTCGACGAGTCCTTTGAGCCAGTTTTACTTGCCCATTCCGAGTTATCGGCAGACGGACGATGATGATGTGCTCGTCAAGTAAGTTTCTCAGTTCTATCTTTTGACACATTTTTTAACCTCAGTTTGCAGGTATATCGCAAAAGGAAACTCGAAGTTCGGGTCTGTGACTATTGAAAGCCCAGAAGCTAGTGACCAGAGCCTTCTGAGGTTTAGGCTTTTTGTTGATGGAGAGGAAGCATGGAATTCTATTCTCCTATCTCCTCCCTTGCTGAAAGGAAAAGGAAGGAGCAAGGGTGCGTTGTGGGGTTAGAATAAGACATGGTTAAGAAAATATAGTATAAAATAATAGTCTTGTTGCGCTGTACGACTATATATTGTTGGGCTAAGTGGTCCAATGCCTGCATACATATTGAAGATGATGGGGTGTTAAACGGCATTGAAAGTGAGACTCATGCCGCCTAAAAGTCCGAAGACCGGCTATACTTAATAACAGCGATTACAGCAACTGTAATTTAAGAAAAGGCTTTCAATCACTCAGGGCTACAATCAGTAAGCTAGCTTCTGACAAATGAACCTGAAGAGATAAGCTCTATGCGTTTGAATTGCTGGTATGAATCCTAAGCTATATCCAGCCCGGAATCTTCGTCACGAAAGGCGGTGTACCTTGCGGCAGAGTCGACAAGGCTACCAAATATCCACAAGGTTCCATGGGTCGTAGCCAACCCCTCCAACAACTTCGACCATATGATGCGCATTCTCTTGGCTTGCATTTCCACGAAACTATCTTTTGATATTGACAATACAATATTTCCTTTGGGATAGCTCCACAACCACGACTACGGCCATGTCGACTCAAGCTGATCTGGGCGCCAAGGCCCTCGCAGCCAAAGACTACACCTCCGCCATCACCCATTACACCAACGCTCTTAAAACCGCGAACTCGCCCTTATGGTTCACCAACCGCTCGACTGCATACCACCGTGCCGGACAATATGAGCTCGCCCTCCAGGATGCCGAAGCTGGAGTTTTGGCTGCTCGCCAAAGAGCTCGACGTGAGCTGATTACCGCCGCCCAGATGAGGAGAGCTATTGCACTATACAGCCTGGGACGACTTGGAGATTCGCGCCTCGTGCTAACGTGGGTGAGGAAGCTGAATGAGAAGGAGAAGAGCTTGGGAGTCTGGCAGTTGAAGGTTACCAACGAATATGAGAAGCTGTCTGAGGACGCGGAAGGGAGGAAGGTCACAGTTACGGAGGTGCCTGACGAAGCTAAGTTGCCCGAAGTGGGCAAGACAGTGGCGGTGGAGGAGAAAGGCAAGGCCGTGACTCAGGCTCAGGCTCAGGCTCCTCAGATATCAGTTCCAGCACAGACCCCAAAGGAGAAGATCAGGCACGAGTGGTACCAGTCGAGCGATAAAGTTACGATTACGATCTTTGCAAAGGGTATCCCAAAGGAGAAGGCCGAAGTTACTATTGCTGAAGACTCTGTAAGTTTCTGATTCAACATCCTTCATCGAATTGCAAACTAATCCCATGCAGGTCGAAGTCAACTTCCCGATGGGCGCGAATAGTAGCTATAATTACACCCTTGACAATCTTTACGAGCGCATCAACCCCTCAGAGAGCACATCTTCCATAACTCCCAATAAACTCGAAATCACGCTGCACAAAACCAGCGGCACAAAGTGGCCAGCTCTGGAGAGTGCAACACGAGTCCCAGCCTCTGTCACCAAAGACGACACCAAGGAACCCTCCCCTCCAACTTCCGCTACCACCGCCGAAAAGCCCCCCTCATATCCCACTTCATCAAAGCACGGGCCCAAGAACTGGGATGCCCTCGCTAGCAGCGCCCTAGCCTCCGAGTCTATGGGTGATAATAATCTCGGTGGGGACGACGACGATGAGGCGGACCCATTGCACGGGTTCTTCAAGAAGCTGTATAAAGATGCGGACCCGGACACGAAGAGGGCGATGATGAAGAGCTATACTGAGAGCAACGGAACAGCACTGAGCACGAATTGGGCGGATGTCAAGAAGAAGCCAGTGGAGACGAATCCGCCAGAAGGGGTGGAGGCTAAAAGCTGGGGAAAGTAGGGGAATGTTCATGAGCAGTGGCATGTGGGTATGATGGACTGATACTATTGTATCGTGGAAATGACAGACAAAATGGGGATCTGACCGTCTGATCATCAAAGAATTACAGAGAGAAACAAAATGGAGTATCCTGGGCGTTCTATACCTTCCGGTAGCACACAATTAGCAAAAGGGGAATAATACAACTTGAACAAGTCAAATTACAGTGCCATTTCACGATTGTTATAGCAAAGAATTCTAATAGCTTCAATCATAACGCCTTCTATTACAGTACATATGCAAATATGCTACATACATCCCCAACTTTACTATGCGTAACAAAGACCCTGAGCACTCCCCAATGTAGCAGGCTCGAAAAAGGGCAACCTCCCAAAATGTCAAATGCAGCTACAGAATGCTCGAAGCAGCTTTCTGGCGCAACAAAATTCCAAATTTCATCAATCATACACCGCGCCCTTTCCACCATCCAGGACAACGACCTCTCCAAATTAAAACTGGAAAATCAAACAGTCGACAAATCTATTGCCATAAGAAAAGTACAACGAGCTCCACGAGTGACGTGAAGCGATGATTCAGAGGGCAAACTCTGAATGCTAGTGGATATTTTGATGCGTTGCCTAGGGTATAAATTCAAATGCTATGCGAGTTTTTTGTATGCAAGGCGAGCAAATGTTGTAAGGTCGACAATAACGCAGACATTGGTTAGTACAAGAGCTCGAGCTGGGTTGCTAGAATCATAGTGCCCCCCAGCGATTACGAAGCCCATCTGCCCAACGTCCATAAAGAACGTCGGCAAGTTGTTTTGTGTGTTCCATTCCGGGTGTGACTTGCCCGGGTAGGTTGTGCATCTTTTCATTCCACTCCCTATCGGCGACTTGCATCGACTCACGTCGCTGGCGGTGGCTTCGAAGATGCGGGTTGTTTTGAGCCATGACTAGCTTGGGGCCTGGTGAGACCTGGGCCTGAGATGACTTTCGGGGGGTGCACACAGGAGTCTGATCTTTCGATGGTGATGCTGATGGTAAGAATCGCAGTTTTGGATCCGCCTGAACTTTCTCGAGCATGAGTTTCAGCAGCTGAACTTCTCCATCTGGGTCAATCGCATCAAAGGCACTCCAGGCGTCTGCAAGACGTGAGAGAGCCTCGCGCTTTTTCTGACTGCTTGTCTGTGCATGTACTTCCTGGAATGAAGGATCGACAGCCTTATTATAGGCTCTGCGACCCAACTGCGCCTCCTTGCTGATAGTTTCCACAGTTGGCGGCCGGTTCTCGTCCCGGATCTCAATGGATGAATCGACTACTCCCGCAGTTGAGTTATCCGAAACACGGCGGAAGAGACGGACTGTGGAGCCACTGTTGCCAAAGTTCATATCTGGCTGTAGTGGCCTCTTAGGGAATGTGTTCTTTGAAGACTTGGTCGGGGTTAACGGCAGCTGCATGATCGACGGCTGCTTCTGAACTGTGCGGCGTCTCACAGTGCCTGGCGAAGGAGATGACATCGTCAGTGGAGCATCTTTGAGGTCTAGACGTCGCAGAGCTTCCTCTGCCCCAGTCTGTCCATTTTGAATATTGCCTGGTATAACGGACAGCTTCCTCCTCTTTGAGGTAGATTTGTGAATTGACTTTGCCTTCACGGTGTCAAACACCCAGGCATCTGAGTCGTCCTTAGGTGTCATTGAGGTCAATACCTCCTCATAAAATCTTGGGTGAGATGGGCGGTTCCGGCCTCCATCCCATTCCTGCTTTCTTTCCACCAATTCTTGCAAAGCTTCGACTCTCCCTGCAGATCGGATGAATTTGTGCTTTAACAGTTCCTTTGCCGATGGACGTTTGCCGCACTCCTTGACCAAGCATTGCGCTACAAAATCTTTGAATTCGCGACTGTGGTTGTTCCCTTCAAGCCTAGGTGCTGGCGCTTTTGGTATAAGAAACAGCACCTTCATCGGATGTGTGCTGGCATTGGGGGGTTCGCCATTCACCAACTCCATTGCAGTAATTCCGAGAGACCAAATATCTGCTTTGAAGTCATAACCAGCCTGCTGGATGACTTCAGGGGCCATCCAGAATGGCGTCCCTACAAAGGTATTTCTTTGCGATTTGATATTGGTGAGTTGCGCTGCAACCCCGAAATCTGCCAATTTAACCTTTCCAGTCGAGGACAACAATATGTTTGCGGCCTTTATATCTCTGTGGATCTTGCCTTCTTGGTGGAGATAATCAAGCCCGAGAAGCAGTTCGCGGCAAATGATTGCAATGTGAGCTTCGTGGACCGGGCCTGGTTTTAGCTGCAACAAGTCAGCATTCAGTATTCAGATAATCATGTCAGCTTGGAACGAACCAAGTCTAAGCAAGATCCACCACCCAAGTACTCCATAACAATCCACAATTTATGGCCGCGGAGAAAGCTCTCTTTATATTGTGTAACAAAGGGGCTGGCACAAGTGCTGAGCACCGAGATCTCTTGCTGAATTTCCTGTATATCATCCTCGCTCGATTCGAGATCAATCTACGCAGAAGCAGTCAGTTTCGACAACTTTTCTTCATGGTGAACGTCGCCCTAACGTGTTTGATAGCAACAATCTCTCCTGTTGCCCTCTCAATGGCTTTATATACTACTCCAAAGCTCCCACCTGTACTTGTAAGTAACTCCTATTGTCTGGTGGATTCATGGTTGCTCACTGCCCAATTCCTCCAGCACCTGGTATTGGCTGCCAGCCGCATCATCAGACATCGTTGCTAGGGTGGTGTTCAGGGGAAGCGTAAGATTTCAATAGGAAGTAGCAATTGCGTGACTTTCCAGTAGCCAGCAAAGAGAAACGAAGAGCACAATTGCACAGTATTCTCTCTGTTTGCAACTGGAATTGCTGGAGAGGAAGCTGCGTTTGAGCTGGATAGGTGGAAGTGGATCGATCTATGATCATGTAAACACTGATTGCCCCAGCCAACGAACTAAGCCCGGACCATCAAATGCTCCGAAGTCGACGAAGACGTTAACCCACGAATCTTTGATGGTCTTGATGTCAGAAGCTCGTGTCTTAAAGGTTATTATGTCTTAAATGGTAGAACTGTTTTGAATCCCTATGGTAACTCTTTTACTGCGACCCTGAAAATCGCCAGTCAAAGACAGTGTCCTCGAGTTGCTGGGTGCGATTATCCGATAACGTTCTGGTTGCCATGTCAACCGTGACATGTTCCAGTTGGTCGAAATCAGTGACGGTATCCAAACATACAGCAACCGAAAAGTTTCAATACTGCAAGCACTATTGCGCTTAAATGCCTGGACTCCAATATCACAACCAGCCAAATGGTAACAGACAGCTCTATTTGCACAAACGTCTTTCGCGACTGTTTGATCGGTGGTGCTAGATTCTTTCTATCCATCTCCCGAACAATATACATGGACAACTAAGAAAACGCCTTTCGTCGACAAATGGTCGTTGGCACGGGAGATACTAGGTGCGGTACATACCGCAAGTGTTAGAACCTCCTTGTGGTTTGCGCGCCTACAACTATACAAAGCGAGAAAAAAACCCATAGCAGAATGGCTCTTGAACCGCCTGGGCTTCCATCGCGCTTTCCATGTTGGTGTCGAGCTGTGTACTCTTGGGGCGGAGAGGTGAGTCCTACAGCTCCTATTTATGTCACAACAACCGGATACTAATTTCATTATGTGCAGTCAAAACGAGACCTAGGGTTTATAGAAGGAGACCTCATAGAATGCCTCAATGCAGGGGACGGATCATGGTGGATGGGGAGGCTGCGGCGAGACAAGCGCGTGATGGGGCTTTTCCCATCAAACTTCGTACAAGTTCTGGACGACAGCTTTCAGCCAGCAAGTAGAGCTACAAGCCCTATGCCAGATCGATCCCCAAGCCCAAACCCATACAACCCACAAGCGCCAAAGGCAGCCAAGGAGAAACCATTTAGAAAGCCGTTCCAAGCATATGCAGCTCCCGATTTAGCAGCTCAAAAAAGAGCTGAACTGAAAAAACAAGAAAGCATAAGCATAGCAAAGCCGAAGCCCTCACCTTCAAAATCGATCCATGGCAGGATCGGTTATGTGCCCTCACCGAAACAAATCGGAGGCTATGGCGCACGAGCATCACCTCAAAACCCTCAACCTACGCAGGAATCCCGTTATCGGGCCCCATCACCCTACGCGCAACCTACACATGAACCTTATTCTCGGGCCCCATCGCCATATGCGCAACCTGCGCACCAGTCCTACTCTCGGGCTCCATCACCATGCCCACCAATGACTTACCAAGAACCCCCGCGCCAAACATCCCCCTATGCGCCACCTACCTATGAAACCCACCCTCGAGGCCCTTCACCTCGCCCGCAATCTGCTTATCAAGCATACTCGCGGCAACCTTCACCTTGCCCACCAGCTGATCCTTACGACAATTATAGAGCGCCTTCACCTTTCCCAGATAATTCATATCAGCCAAATCAGTCGGAAATGCCGTCGAATTCGAACCGCCCAAGAAGAGACTCTTCTCCGCCTCCGCTGCCTCCGCCGCATAGGCACACATATGCTCCTCATACAACTGACAGCGAGCCGTATCAGAATCAATCGAATAACTATCATACCCCACGTGCGACAAGCCCCTGCCCTCCTTCTCCTGGCGCGACTGGTCTTACGCCATCGCCCCTCAGGAATGCAATGGATGATGTCATGTCGTCTTTAGAAGGTATGGGACTTTCGAGAGAAACTGAGACACCGGAGCCACCTTTAGATCCATGGTCACCGGAAGCCTTTGATGAGACATATTCAAGAGCCTCCAGGCGAAACGGAGCTCACAGGCCAGCAACATCTATGGACGATTATAGCGCAAATCAACAATTTGATGGGCAATTCCAAGATCCTCAACTACAAGACAATGAAGCCCCGCAGCTTAGCAATTACGTGCAACGAATGGAGAGTAGGCTCAGGCAACGCCACCCCCGGAACTCAGACGAGAGTAGTGTAAATTCAAGTATGCGACCTCCAACAGTTCCGCCGAAGTTCTCGTCAGTGAGCCGGCCGCAATCTTCTATGGCTGATCTTGCTCAATTTCAGGACAGGCCAAAATCTTCTATGGCGGGAGCGTTTGGTGAGCATCAGACATTACGGCACAAAGCTTCATCTTTCGGAACTCAGGAAGCCAGAAAATTGCGACACCGGAAATCTGCATACGAGGTTGGGAAACAAATGCTGGGAAGGACCTTCACAGCAAATTCTACATCGACAAACTCATCCTCTGGGGTTCAAAGCACAACAACAAACGAAAGCGCAAGCACTCAACTAACAGACAGGAGTATTATGAGCGGCCACTCTGCTGGTGCATTTAGCGCCACTAGTGCTGGGAGTCTTGCTAGAAAGAAAGACTCTTTTCACGTAAGAACTAGAAGTGCACTCGGAATGCGAGGCAATGATTTTGCGGCCATTCAAAACGGTTTCGAGCAAGAGAGCCGGTCTCAGACTCCCATTAGCGGAGTTACTTACCACAGCAGTCATGCATCGGGGCCTCCAAGGGCACAATCACAAATGGGGTATAATGCCGACTCTTCCGGCGCACTTGGAGGACTTATGGCCCCAAAGCCCAAGAAAAGCGGCTTCTTTAAGAAGATAATCGAGTCTGCAAAAACCGGCGCAGCAAGTACTCGGAAGACCATTGTTACGGGAGAAGCTTCTCGTCCACTGTCGTCACGGAGTATTCTGCCAAACGGTGTTACTGCCATTGCTGGAGGGCTGGGCAGCGACCAAGGAAGCAATGGCCAAGACAGGGACGGTTCAGGTGCCGACTGGGTCCAGGTCCGCCGGGATGTAAATCGATCCAATTCTCTCAGCCGTATTGAGCGCCTGGAGAGAAAAGAACGGTGTCAGATGATGGACTATGCTGCTATAAGCCCCGTTGACGAACTTTACGATACAACTCAGGGCGATGAAGCCGGGGATGGAACGGCAGTGATGGAGCCAACAAACTATCAAACTGTCAATTTAAGTTTGGTCGACAAGAACTCAAGATTCATCGGCAACTTACCGCAAACGATGAACCCAAGCAGCCTCGCCACCGGCTATATCTGTAGGCCATACAGAAGCGATGTGCAGCGACTTAGAGCTATCTTTACCTGGGTTGCTGAAAAGATTTCATGGGAAGAAGATTTCGATGGGGATGACCCTGTTAACTCGAGGAGAGTAATCCAGTCGAAACGAGGCAGCCCAGAGGAAGTATCGGTTTTGGTCATGGAAATGTGTTCTGCTGTTGGCATTCACTGTGAAGTTGTCCGTGGTTACCTGAAGTCTCCAGGAGAAGCATCGGAGGTTGGGCTTGTTCCCAGATCCAATCACTGGTGGAACACAGTACTCGTTGACAACGAATGGCGAATGATGGACTGTTCTCTTGCAAGCTCGACGAATCCACTCCGGAGCCTTTACTCCAGCACAGGACCAACATTTGCGGAATCCTGGTACTTCCTTGCCCGCCCAATGGAGATCTGCTGGACTCATGTCCCAGAGCATCATCAGCATCAACATCTCTCTCCACCTGTCGCCCACGATGTCTTACTGGCACTTCCCTGTGCCTGTCCTCCATTCTTCAAGAACGACATGCAGATGCAAGATTTCAATACGTCTCTACTCAGGCTAGAAAATCTCGAGCTTGCTCAGGTCAGGTTCACTGTTCCAGCAGATGTAGAGTGCGTTGCAGAAGTCGAAACTCGCGCCTTCAAGCGCGATATCGATGGTGACGTTTTCGAATCTGGCGAGATTGTTAAGAAGCGTGCATTAGCACAGGCGGAATGGGTTAGGGGTACCAAGCAGTATACTATCAAGGCCCTTCTCCCAGGCGATGAGGGGTCCGGCAACCTCAAGATCTATGCGGGCAAGAGAGGCCTTATGCACAGCATAAAGGATATCCCTCATCCGATTGCTCTTTCTCTACCAATCAATCACACTGGAAGCAATCCAGCTTACGAATTCTTGGTCCGACATCCCACGCCACATGCTCAACGCCACGATTTATATGTTGCGCAACCGCAATGCCAACTGCTTGCTATAAACAATACCTTCGTATTTGCGATCCGCCAACACCCGTCGTCTATCGTGGCTATCCAAGGGACTATGTCGCCAGTTCCATACTCTCGACCCGAGAGCGCAATGAGCCTGACCGCCTCGTCAGCTTCTGGTTCGAACCCAAGCACATATGCTTCAAAGAAGCCAGCCAAACTGGCTATCCAGTCGCCAAGCGGGAAGGTATTGAGACTCATGAGAAAAGAAGATTGTGGTGGCGGTGTGGGAACTGGAGGTTCGACTGAAATAGGGGATGGTGGTGTCTGGGAGACCATTATTAAGTGTGGGGAGAAAGGCGTTTGGAGGGGATTGGTACTTGCGGATAGAAGTGCGCGTTGGTGCGTTTTTGCTGAGTGGACTTGTGCTTGATGAAATTTTTAGGCTTCATGGTAGGTTTGGGCACATCTTTAAAACGGCTGGGTGGGGGGGCATTTGGAGTTTGAAGTATTGCATTTTGGGATGGTTAGAGTGTGTTGTATAATAGACGTCTGTTTGGCACAATTAGTGCCTACTGAATATGAAGAGGACAATAAGAATTCTACGTTCGAGAACCTGTGGTACCATTTCTAGAGCTTCCATGTGAATATCACCCTGCCCTAGAGTGCTGTAATCCCCACCATCGTCAACGCCTACTCAAATATAATTATGATGCTATGGAAGCACACGAACGCCTACGCCACGAAGCAGAACGAAGAAGAGAAGGGACACCAGTTCCACGACCATTAGAACACGTTTTCTCATTATCCCTAATAAACTCCATACACGCCGACGCTACGTAAACCCAACCACAATGCCAGATATTGTTACCATCCTCACTCCCACGTCTTATTGTGAAATAGCGCCTCACAAACCTAGCATCCTCCGGCATCCGTCCCTAACCCTCTGCTCGTACTCTGCCCTATGCTCCCTCCATTGCTTCGCAGCCTCCACATTCGCAGGACTCTCGTCGTTCGGCTCCGCTAGCATGCTCATCACTGAGATTAAGATCTTCTCCACACTCTGGATTGGCGACCAACGCTCGGATGCATGCTCGTAGTGGTTCGGGTCGTCTCCCGGGGGGTGTAGAATCGAGATGCAGACCAGCCCGCTTGGATATACTACATATTGTAAGCTTTTATCCCCATCACCCTCTTAAGCCCGTAGCAAAACCACCACTCCACAAGCTCGATTCTCCAGTGGTAAAGAGACTAGACTGTAACTAACCATTAGGATGCCAGACCTCGCCGATGAATTTCATGGACGGTGGCGCGAGCGGGTAATCTTTCGGGAACTTGAGCTCAGCAGGGAATACACCGCCCTCGAATGGCGTCCCCTCGGGCCCTTGGATCAGCGCTTCCCAGTGTAGGAGGTCTTCTTCGGAGACGGGGCCTGCGGTGATGCCTTCTGGTGGGTTGTTGGTCAAGGCGCGGTATTCTTGGAGAAGGCGGCGATGGGCCGTTGAGGTCGCCATGATGGCCGGGTCTTCGCGGTATAGGTTCGACTATGGCAGACTTTCCGGGGTGAGGCTGCTTGGGTTCGCCGTAACTTTACAGAGCGTGAAGAGTGAGTTGTATTATCAGAGATAGGTTGTAGTGTTGAAGTGTGGAGAGCTTGACCTCGGAAGCCGGTGGGCCAATTCCGGGATGGGGTAGTCAGATAGGATACGAGGAGTCGAATCGCGCGATAAGAGCACCCAGACTTTGGAGCTGCCAATTACCCCTCCAGGCCCACCCCACTCGGACAGTTCTTCTCCGTTCACTCTCCGACTAACTTGTCACAACAAAAACTTCAATAATCTCGAATATGTCTTCGCCTCTTCGCATTGGGTTTGTGCCTGAGCACTTCTCAACCCCGCTCTACTTTGCGCAGAAACACTTCGGCCTTGATGCCACGCTGATTCCTTTCCCGTCGGGAACGGGACATATGATAACTGCCCTCAGGGCTGGGGAAATAGATGTTGGAATTGGACTTACGGAAGGTTGGGTTGCGGGGCTTGGGAAGGGAGATATGGAGGGGGATGGAGGTTATAGGATTGTAGGAACCTACGTTGACTCCCCGTTATGTCCGTCATCCCCCGTCTCTCTTATCCGTTCCCCGGCGTAGCTGTAGTGTCCAAGGATTCAGAATATGGCACAAGCTGACCGAAAGTTCTAGGCTGGGCCGTCTCCACTGGCGCACAACGTAACGACATCCAAAGCATCGCCGACCTAAAAGACTCCAAGATTGGCGTCTCACGAATCGGTTCCGGAAGCTATGTCATGGGAACCGTCCTCGCCGACCAACAAGGCTGGCTCACCCCCGGCACCCCCCCTTTCACATTCACGCCCCTCCAAACATTTGCCAAGCTCCGCGAGGGCGTCAATGATAAAACCGTCGACTTCTTCATGTGGGAGCACTTTACGAGCAAGCGGTATTACGATAATGGCGAGATCAAAAGGGTCGGGGAGATATACACCCCATGGTCGAGTTGGTTGATTGTTGCGTCAACGAGCATTGGCGAGACGGACTCGAGACTAAAGGAGTTGTTTGAGAGTCTTGATAAGGGTGTTAAGCACTTTTTGGAGAATGAGGAGGAGGCGGTGAGGTATATATACACGTTGCTGGATTACTCCGAGGATGATGCGAGGGAGTGGTTGAAGACGGTCAAATTCACAAATGGTATTAGAGGTGCCGATGAGGCGTTGGTGGGGAAAGTGAGGGATACATTGTTGAAAGCCGAGGTGGTCGATGAAAGCGGTTTGAGAGCTCAACAGATGGTCGCTATCAAGAGATGAGTGGAGCGGTCTAGAAATGTTATCCCAAGTCCATAGGGCATGTGAGAGAAAAAATTGCAGTAGTACTCATGAACAAAGCTTCTAAATTGTTTATAATTTCGACGGAATAATTCACACCGGTATGTATACGGCGGCTACTTCCCAACAGCACAACCAACCTTCATTCGGCGATATGCTACAATACAAGCATGCTCGCATCACTCCAGGCCCAGTAACTCAGCAGTCAACCAAGAGAGTCTACATCTACTCGTCCACCACGGAAGCGAATTTCTCGTTCATATCCGAGATGAGTTTCTCGTACTTCAGCGCAGTTAGTATAATCTTCAATCCATGGGATAGTGATGATGTCTTTTGACTTACTTTTGCCACGATGGCCTCCTCTCCCTCGCTAGGAAGCTCAAACTTCATGCTGCGCAGCTGAGACTGAAGATCGCTTGTTGCCTCACGGACCTTGTTCCAGCTCTGTCCCTGGGAAATCACCTTCTGTGCCTCGTCATGGAATCCCATCATAGCCTTCATCATCCACTCCGTCTTCCAGATAGGGCAGAACTGATCATAGTCAGAGTATCCGTTTTGTTGGAGGAAATCCTCCTTCAGCAGCTGTGCAACGTCAAGGGTGATCTTGTTGGTGTCAGACAGTGCAGATTTTCCAACGAGCTGAACCACCTGGTCCAATTCCTCGGAATCCGACAGTAGCGTCTTGATGCGGTCACGGAGGCGTGGGAAATCCGGGAAGTCCTTCTCGTAGTACTTGTCGAGAACAGTCGTATATCTACTGTAACTGGCGGACGTGTTGATCGAGGGGAAATGCTTCCTTTGGGCAAGCTTCTTATCGAGACCCCAGAACACCTGGACGATACCAAGGGTGCTACTTGTGACTGGATCGGTGAAATCTCCACCAGGTGGGCTGACGGCGCCAACGATGCTGACACTTCCCTCGCGGGCTGGGTTACCTAATGCCTGCACCTTACCAGCGCGCTCGTAGAAACTGGCCAGCTTTGCTCCTAGGTAGGCAGGGAAACCTTGATCCGCGGGCATTTCACCCAAACGTCCAGAGAGCTCACGAAGGGCTTCGGCCCAACGGGATGTCGAATCAGCCATCATGGCAACGTCCTTGCCCTGGTCACGGAAGTACTCGGCAACAGTGATACCGGTATAAATCGAGGCCTCACGAGCAGCCACAGGCATGTTTGAGGTGTTGGCGATGAGAGTTGTACGCTTCATGATAGGCTCCTTGCGCCCGTTGATATCGATAGAGAGCTCCGGGAAATCCATCAAAACTTCAGCCATCTCATTACCACGCTCCCCGCATCCAACGTAGATAATGATGTCACTGTTCGAGAACTTGGAGACTGACTGCGAGATGACAGTCTTGCCGCAACCGAAAGCACCTGGGATAGCAACTGTTCCACCCTGAACACTGGGGAAGAGAGCATCGAGCACACGTTGTCCGACAATGAATGGCTTATCGGCCGCCAGCTTCTCGGTTGTCGGACGAGGCACTCTGACCGGCCATGTGTGCATCATCATGTGCTCGGACTTCTTCCCGTTGAACTCTATTTCCAAAATCTTCGCATCCACCGTGTATTTCCCTGCTTCTGCAATGCGTGTAATGGTACCCCTCGCCCTCGGTGGCAGGAGAATCTTGTGGTCGTCCAGGAGGGAATTCTCGTATACGGTTCCAAAAATGTCTCCTCCTGTAATGTGGTCTCCGACCTTCATGAGTGGCTTGAACTCCCAGAGCTTCTTCCTGTCCAAAGCCGGCGCTGAGATACCACGTGGGATATAAATGCTGTTCGACTGTTCGGAAATGGCCTTCAATGGGCGCTGGATACCGTCGTAAATCGTTTCCATCAAGCCAGGACCTAACTCGACTGACAGTGGCTTTCCTGTTCGGATAGCTGGATCTCCCACGGTAACACCAGCTATATTTTAGGGTCAGCCTCTCGATTACATCCCAGTCATCACGGACACGTACCGGTTTCTTCGTAGACTTGAATGGTCGCTCGGTCAGCTTCGATTCGAATGACTTCTCCTACTAGGTTGTCATGGCCAACTTTAACCTAAGCAGAAGCATCGTCAGTAACCTGCAACCGCATGGAAGGCGCAGCACTTACAAGCTCGTACATGGCGACTCCAATCATGTTCTCGGCAACCACGACGGGACTATTGACAGTTAATACCAGTTGCCAAAGTACCCACACTGCTAACGTACCCTGATACCGAGTAGATAGAGCCTTGAGATAGTCAGACACAATGCGCTTCCAGTAATTGAATGATGCGGCTTACCATATTGCTCTTCTGCATCCACATCCTTGGCTCTCTCGGGCTTCTTCTCTGACTTCTTCTGTGTTCTTGAATCAGTATTTGGCCTGGATTATTTGCAACACCCAGGCAAAATGCTTACAGGACCCATGGTGATGTCGGTGTGTGGAAGCGTAATAGGTTCGGGGAGAGGAGCTACCTCTTCTGGGATCGAGCTGGTGGATTGTGGCAGAGAGCGATGTCGTTGATGTGTTGGCGACGTTGGAAGAGGGATGGTGGAGGCTATCAGGTCGTCGAGTTCAACAGCAGGCAAGTTATCAGCAGCAATGTCGGGTCGGGGCGTAGTGGCAGCAGATGACTTGATAAGATCGTAGAAGGAAGGTCTTCCTCTCAACCGTGGCCTAGGAGTAAAGCCAACGTTGTGCATCCGAATTTATACAGGTTAAAGAGTTAGAGAAGCTTTCAACCGGCGTATACGCATAGCTATGGGGTTGCCCATAGATAGCGGTATCGCTACAAGTAGTTCTTGAGGCTCCCGTAGAGCTAGGAACGTTATTAATACCGAGTAGGTAGGTACTCATATGGAAATAACTCGTTATTTTGAATTTCGTATAGGAAAAACTACTCACAAAGGCCTATACTATATAATATTTACTTCTTCATTAAACAGGGAATATATTACGAGCGTGCTGAGGGATATCATACCGCGCATCTTCCCTTATTTCCTATGTTGCCGTATGCCGTATGTATGTTACCATAACTGCTCTCTCGTGACTGCTGGTGGCTATCTATCTTATCTAGCAACCCACCTGGCCCATTCCTCGGACCCCTACTTACAGAGGCCTCTTGGACAAGAGATCATATACAAACACACACCCAAGAGTAGGAGCTCACGACTTGACCCGCGCGCTCATACGCTCATACGCTCATACGCTCATACGCTCATACTCACGAATTACCTGCGGCACTCCCGCCATAGTCGTCCTGGCAGACGACAACTCCCCAACGCCACTATTACCTCCCCCATCCACTTCCGACGACCCAACCACTTCGACGCCCTCTCAGCCAACTACCAGCACAGAGTCCTCAGCCCAACCTTCAGATACAGCACGAGACTCGACCGTCGACAGAGCATCGTCGAATCCAAACCTGCTCCCGAACGAGAGCCCAGGTCCTGTACCTACGAACCCACCCCAGCTGCCTCGTGGAACGCAAAGCAGCCGCCGTAGAGGGCGAGAACCATCCCCAGCCGACAACAGAGAAGCCCAGGACCACCGAAGCTTTGAGAGCTTAGGTCCGCCGGGCGAGACTACCAACGAGCCTCTTCCCAAACGCAGGCGCAGGGATCCTATGATGCGACTTGAGGGAGATAGCAGCAATACAAATGGCGGACCTAGACCCTTCACGAACGGCTCTGCGGCGGAAGCACCGGTGTCGAAATCACTGAATGGGTTGACAAAGACCGTGCCGGCCATAAACGGGTCTACGACAAGTAATGGCCTTACTGAGAAAACAATCACGCAAGATCCCGCTTACTTCGGGCATGACCGTGAGGAAGTGTCGAGGCTGCTGATACAGGCTCTTTCAGATCTGGGTTATAATGCCTCTGCTGAGAAACTGGTTCAAGAGAGCGGATACGACCTCGAAAGCCCGACAGTGGCTGCCTTTCGGAATGCCGTTCTTCGAGGTGAATGGTCAGACGCGGAAGAGTTGTTATTTGGTCATCCGACTTCGTCAGTGACTGACGGCACCGGTATAAGCAACGGGCTCGTACTCACTGAAGGGGCAGACAAAGATGAGATGCGGTTCTGGCTCCGCCAACAAAAGTTTCTCGAGCTATTGGAAGCTGGGGATACCGGCAGGGCATTGATGGTGTTGAGAACCGAGCTGACGCCGGTCTATCACAATGTCCACAAGCTCCATTTCCTCTCAAGTTTACTCATGTGTCCCTCGGATGAGCTGATGGCAAAAGCTGAGTGGGATGGCGCTCATGGTCAATCCCGGCATATTCTTCTATCCGAGTTATCAAGTAAGTCAGCCTGAAAATGCAGTCCCCGTGCTACCCAAAAGCATTCATAGGGCTTGTGCGTAACAAGGAGCAAAATAATAGATACAGATAATGTACAATTTCAATGGGCTACTTCATCACAGCCCCTATGAATGCTTTTTGTGTTTTTGGAACTCAGAACAGCCTCGCTAACAGATCTACAGAATGCCTTTCCCCATCCCTGATGGTGCCTGAACACCGACTTGCAGTCCTACTAGATCAAGTCAAGCAGTCCAGGATCGCCAACTGCCTGTATCATAATACAGAAATCTCGTCGTCGTTGTATTCAGATCATCGCTGTGACCGAGAAAACTTCCCACTGGAGGTTGCGGCAGAGCTACACCAGCACAGTAGTGAAGTTTGGTTCGTGGCTTTCTCACATGATGGTACAAGGCTGGTGAGTTGTGGCGCCGAAGGAAAGGCTTTAATCTGGGATATGCAATCATTGCAAGTGGTACATACCCTTCCCGATCATACGCAGGGCGTCTGCTTCGCATCATGGAGCCCGGATGATAAAATGGTTATCACATGCTCCAAGGATAGGTATGCAAGGCTATGGGACACAGAGGTAAGTAATTCCAATCTCTCCGCATCGTTGAAGGTATCTAACTGAAAGCAAAAGACTGGCCAACTTCTACGGACAATCAACCGCTTCGAGGAGCCCGTGAGTTCTTGTGCCTGGGCTCCGGATGGAAAGTCGTTTATCACCGGCTGTCTCTACAAAGAACGAAACCTTTGCCAATGGAATCTGAACGGCGATCTCCTATACGACTGGAACCGTCCGCACCGTATTGAAGCACTGGCACTGTCGAGAGATGGCAGCCTGTTAGTCGCTACGGACACCGAGTGCCATCTTCATGTCTATAACTTCGTCTCTCGTGAGCTGGAGTACGAGATGGATCTCAAGGTCAAATTAACGTCGGTCAGTGTTAGCAAGGACTCGAAGTATCTACTGATCAGTAAGATCGACGGAGAAGCTCTCCTCTTCAGTGTTGAGGACAGAAAATCAATCAGGACATTCGCAGGACAGAAAGCCGGAAAGTTCGTAATCCGCAGCGACTTTGGTGGTGCCGATGAGAGTTTCGTTATAAGCGGTAGTGAGGATGGCTACGTATTCGTCTGGCACAAGGAGAACGGTTCTATTGTGGAGAAGCTGGAGGCTCACCGGCCAGGGTGCTGCAACAGCGTCTCATGGAACCCGAAGAACCCGCGGATGTTCGCAACCGCCGGCGACGATCAGAGTGTCCGAATGTAAGTTTTCCCTCTGTCAGTGACCAAGATCCTCGCTAACGTTCTCGGGGCCAGATGGTGCAACCAATCCAACTCAGGCCCTCTCCTCCAGAGAGGCCACCTCGGCTAATGACACGGCGCCGCTCGGCGTCAGTGATTCGGGGTAAATGAAGGGCGGGTCAGTCACTGGGAGGGGGATGCTTGGGCGTCAGTTGCTATACTTGGCGATAGGGGTTCTGGGTTCTATAGGCTTGCATCAGGGGCATCCTGCACGGCGTTGGGAAGAGAAGATTGCGGTGCCTGTCGCTTTTTTTTGCGCAGGTGAGTATTCATACCGGTAGCTAGAACTAATAGAATCTCATACTATGGCCAATGTTTTCAGTGACACGAATTGAAAGGCTCTGAGAGTTTCTGGATCAGAGTCGTTTAATTTATTTATTGTTTTTGTGAACTTGTGGAACGACATGACGTGTGGTCTTCCCCAAGCCTCCAGGTGGCTATTATTCATGGTCCATTTTTCAGACTTTTGGGCAGGGCGGGGACCTTTGATGGCTGGATCTTGTTGGGTGTTGGAGGTAGTTTACATACTTGGTGATGCGGATTATGGGCTCTATAAATCTGCCTGGGGGTGATCATGCACGGTATTGGAAAGAGAATATCAAGGTGTTCGTATGGTATTTTAGATCATCGCACAGATTCTCACGTTTTAAAGGCTGGCAGGCAGCTTTCGCAATTGTTATTGTTTTCAAACTCTTGAGGTAGCTAAAGTGAATGTCGCCGTTTGGCATTGATCAGTCCCAGTTTATCTCATCTGACCATGGAATCGCCTCTTGTGCCCCTTGCCGTTGCACTGTCAGTTCTGAGGCTTTCGAGGACTTTCGTACAGCTTCCTTCAAATCCCAACTCCCTTCGCTCTCAAGTGCCCTCACGTATAAGGAACCATAGGCACCGACAAATGTGTCTCCAGCACAAGTGGTATCGACGACCTTCACTTTGTTCGCACGCAGTAAGCTTCCTTTTCCGATTTCACTCGAAGAATAGGAGCCCTTTCCTCCCAGTGTGACGACAACGTTCTTCACGCCCTTGTTCAGGAAGTCATCGGTGACGACGCCCCAGTCAAAGCCTTCGGCGTTAACGCTCTCAACGCTTCGTCCGGAGATAATTGCTGCTTCTGTTTCGTTGACAACCAAGTGCTCAAGTCCCACAAAGACCGCGTTGGGCAAAGGCACAGCTGGAGCAGGGTTCAGCAAGACGGCGACATCTGCGGCCTTGCAGAGCTCAATGATAGTGAGAACAGTGTCCAGCGGTATCTCCAGCTGCAAGATTACGAGATCCGGCTTGGGACTTCCGAATTCCTTGATATTGGTAAACTGTTCTGGTCTGAGGGTGTAGTTTGCTCCAGGATTGAATAATATCCTATTCTCTCCAGTCGCCTCCTCAACGAGAATGACGGCAACGCCAGTACTCTGCCCCTCCACTACTTTGATTCGTGTGACATCCAGGCCATCAGCTTTCATGCCTGCTATAATTGAGGGACCAAATGGGTCGGCTCCAACGGCTCCAATAAACCTGACATCGACATCGGATTGTAATCCCGCCGCGCTTGAAGAGTTCTTTGGATTGTACCGAGACGTTCGAGCGGCCCCAATACCCTGGTTTGCACCCTTTCCCCCAGCTCCAGTACCAAACGATTTGGACGTGAGAGTTTCGCCGCCTTGAGGGACACGGTCAGTGACTGTCACCAGGTCAGCATTTATAGAGCCGATAACCGTTATTACACGTTGGGGTGCCATTGTGAAATTATATGATAATGGTTGCCCAAATAGTATAAGAGGGGTTATTGGCGGGGTGTTCCGATTAATCACGTGCTGAAGTTGCTAGGCCGACACGTGCCGTTACCTTGTGGTGAGCCTCCTTGGCATATTTATTTGTACCCACCTGTGTAACGGGTACACGCATTACCATCCAGCGTCCACGCGCATTTTCTTCTATTTCACGAACTACACAGTCTCTTCCTTCACCTATTATCACCATAATATTGTGACTGCTTGTTGGCCTCGGCTTGCACAGACAATAGCAATATACCCACCGGCGCCATGACGTCCAACCAGGGTGGCATTTCCGATCCGGGCCTCATTACGTTCGTGCCTCCTTGAGATAAACTTACCCCTGCAGGCAGCAACGTTAACTGGTTTCACTAGGCTTGTCAACAAACTTCAAGATGTCTTCACGACAGTTGGTGTGCAGAATCCGATTGATCTGCCCCAGATCGTTGTAGTGGGCAGTCAGTCCAGCGGAAAGAGCTCCGTGTTAGAGAACATAGTCGGCCGCGACTTGTGAGATAACCCCTCTTTCACCAAGAAACGATAACTGACAACAACATGCAGCTTACCTCGTGGCACTGGAATTGTTACTCGACGACCCCTCGTTCTCCAGCTGATAAACCGACAGCCGCCTGAGACGACAAATGGAGTAAAGGGGGAGGAGGAGGTGTCGAACACAACCGATAAGGAGGCAAATGTGGACGAGTGGGGGGAGTTCTTGCACATCCCAGGACAGAAATTCCACGACTTCAACAAGATCAGAGAGGAGATCGTCAAAGAGACAGAGGCAAAGACTGGGCGCAATGCCGGCATTTCACCCGCGCCCATCAACCTACGCATATACTCCCCAAATGTCCTCACCCTCACGCTTGTCGATCTGCCCGGTCTCACAAAGGTCCCAGTGGGTGATCAACCCAGGGACATCGAGCGTCAGATCAGGGAGATGGTTATCAAACAAATTAGCAAGCCAAATGCGATCATCTTGGCCGTCACTGGTGCGAATACCGATTTGGCCAACTCCGACGGTCTCAAGCTTGCACGAGAAGTCGACCCTGAGGGACAACGAACGATTGGTGTCCTCACCAAAGTCGATCTTATGGACGACGGCACCGATGTTGTTGATATTTTGGCTGGCCGCATTATCCCACTCCGACTGGGTTACGTACCAGTTGTGAACAGAGGACAACGCGATATCGATAACAAGAAGGCAATCACAGCTGCGTTAGAAAACGAGAAGAACTTCTTCGATAACCACAAGGCATACCGGAACAAGAGCTCTTACTGCGGAACCCCTTATTTGGCACGGAAGCTGAACCTCATTCTGATGATGCACATCAAGCAGACCCTCCCAGATATCAAGGCCCGCATTTCCGCGTCTCTGCAGAAGTATTCCACTGAGCTTCAAGGCCTTGGAGATTCTATGCTAGGCAACAGCGCCAATATTGTATTGAACATTATTACGGAATTTACGAACGAGTGGCGCACGGTCCTGGACGGGAACAACACGGAACTGTCCTCAGTGGAGCTTTCCGGTGGAGCGAGAATCAGCTTCGTTTTCCACGAGCTCTACGCAAATGGTGTCAAGGCAGTTGATCCCTTTGATCAGGTGAAGGATATTGACATCAGAACCATCCTGTACAACTCTTCAGGATCGTCGCCTGCTCTATTCGTGGGAACGACTGCCTTCGAGCTTATTGTCAAGCAGCAGATTAAGCGCTTAGAGGAGCCAAGTTTGAAGTGTGTTTCCCTAGTATACGACGAGCTTGTTCGTATCCTATCTCAACTATTGGGGAAGCAACTCTTCCGTCGTTATCCTCAACTGAAGGAGAAGTTCCACGCTGTTGTTATCGCATTTTTCAAGAAAGCTATGGATCCGGCAAATAAATTAGTCAGGGATTTAGTTTCCATGGAGGCTTGTTACGTTAATACCGGTCACCCAGACTTCCTGAATGGACACAGGGTAAGACGTTCTGATTCCTGAATGCCATGAAGACATAATAATGATATATTACAGGCTATGGCAATCGTAAATGAAAGGCACCATCAAGCAAAACCGGTTCAAGTCGACCCAAAGACAGGCAAGCCACTTACTGCAGCTCAAGCTGCTGCCGCCCCTCAAAGAGCCGCAAGCCCGTCGCTGGATGGCTCCACCGATGCCAACGGGGGCTTCTTTGGTAGCTTTTTCGCGTCGAAGAGCAACAAGAAAAAGGCGGCTGCGATGGAAGCTCCTCCACCATCCCTGAAAGCATCTGGGACGTTGTCAGAGCGTGAAACCGTTGAAGTCGAAGTTATCAGTAGGTTTTCAACATTGTCGATGACAAAACAATCACTAACGAGATACAGAATTGCTCATCAACTCCTATTACAACATCGTGAAGCGCACGGTTATCGATATGGTTCCAAAGGCCATTATGCTAAACTTAGTCCAGTGAGTTGTCCCCAGTATATTCTATGAACGACTCGTATTAACATGCAAATCCAGATTCACAAAGGATGAAATGCAGCGTGAGCTCCTTGAGAATATGTATCGCACCGACACCTTGGATGAGCTTCTTAAGGAGAGCGATTACACCGTTCGTCGGAGAAAGGAGTGTCAACAGATGGTTGAATCCCTTGCTCGTGCGAATGAGATCGTTTCCCAGGTCGGATAAATCCCATGACAGACACCACAATTTTCTTCGAGCTATAACGCGATGACGACAAATCGACAACTAGATATTAGGCAACCGTCGAATAACGCAATCAACCGAGGCTGTTAAAATGCCACAGCGTCTGCCGTGCTAATGGTTGCCAACCATTAGATTTCATTACTTGTCAAGTCGATCTGAAATGATAGCTCGCTGCGTTGCCCCGATACCCGCAATTTCGCAACGCGTAATGAGATAAGATGGCAGATGGCAGGAGTGGAATATGGGGCTGGAGATCTATGCTTCTGTACTGGTGGTAATACGGGGCAGGTATGATACGGGGCGTTGAATAGCCATTGCGAGTTGCTCAGTTGCATTTTGTTGTTTCTTTTGCGAGTTTAAAGTACATGCAGCGGGAAGTAGATAGACGAGTCAGTGTAGAATAGGCCTACCTAATTCATGATCCAGTTATGCTCTTGCGATCTGATGCGAGGCTGCGTTCCTGAGAACTGTTGGATGGTGGTTCGAAGCACAGGTTATGATGACTCGCCCAGCATGCAACGCTACATTTACGCCTCACAGATCCCCAACGGTTTCCTACCTTAAAACAGTCGCACAAAGTGCCTGTTTCTCCCATGTTTGAACCGCTCAGCCCTACACCGGCCCAGAATCGCATCAGATAACAACAGATTCACCTACTTCATCTTGCTCGGGTTTTCAGAGCCCGGTTCACGTTGGTTTATATCGCCACGAATTTGACACAAGTGCTTTTGATTGGGGTAATTGCCTCCGAACACAGTTACCTCCGCAAACTCGCGCGCGGGCACATAATTTCGTCGTCAAGGCGCAGTATGACGTGTATATGGCAAAGCCAGAGAAAGCTCCGAAATAGCATGGCAAATCATGAGCCTCGTGGTATCGAACGAAATCGGAGGCGGGTTGGTTTTGGGCAGGGCTGGCATGAGGCTTGGTGATTCGTTGTCAACGTGTTCCGTGAGGACGAATACAGATCATGGGTTTGGAGGTGATTTGATTATGTTTGCGTGTACAAGGCGGCATGGATGAGTGCTATTTGTTGGATGCTCCAATCTTGCTACTCTCAGAGAATGTGGTATATAAGGAAGGGAGATTGAAGGTATATTTCGAGATAAGTTAACAAAAGACTGATAGAAGCTGCTTAAAATCACTCTCGCACAACAAAAAAACCATTTGGCTTTTCTTCTCACCGAGCAGAATTGCCTTCCAAGTTCCCAAAAATCATACATTGAGAGACAAGGAGCAATATCATATGGCAAGCGCTAATGAGGAGCCCCTATTTTCAAGAACCCTCACTTCGAACGGACGAGATTGTCCAATGGCTGCACGGAAGCTAGGAGCTCTGTTTTCAGATCTCAATGTATCCTCAGACGTCGATAGATCAAGAAGTGATTCGCCATCTCCTCCCCCAGGGCCGCCACCAAGCCCGGCACTGAGACCAAGAGCTGGACTTACAGGTAGCAAGCCAGATTCAAATAAAAGTATTTACGCATACCATACGCTAACAAACCGACAAGTGCAGATTTGATGAATGGAAATTGAGTTTATTGCCAGGATGCCTGCTCGATAGTTTGATCGGCAGCAAGAATGAGCACTAAAGGCATCGGAGGCATAGTGTTGTGGCCGCAATCAATGGGGATAATGGGATTAGATTAGACGGAAAATGGCTGTGTACCATTCAGTCATTACTCAGGGGCTTCTGATACACGGTTGATAATTGCTGCAAAATCAACTGTCTAAATCTTTGCCTTGCCCTTTAATACCAGCCCTCCGTTTTTGACTTCATACTGATTTGACTTGGACCATCCCAGCCACTCCTGTAATACTTTCTCTCCGCCCTGGCTTGGCCTTAAATAGTTTCCTATCCATCCGTCTCCACGCACTCCTTCTCCTTGGCCTGTTGCTGGATCTCTCGTCGAGGGATTATCGCGCTTGATGGCCAAACCGGGCGTTCCTGTCAAAGTGACTGAAGGGCGCACATCTCCTTCTCTGCTTGGGTCGGTTTCCAGTTCATCAAGATCAAGAACAGGTGTCACACAAGCATCTGTGCCGTCGAAAACGCCCTCCCACTCTGTCCTCGTTTTTTCTTTGAAGAGACGCGTAAACAGCTCTCTCATTTCAGGCCATGTGGACCTGTCATATCGAGTTTCCTCAAGGCCGCGACCTTCAAGTCCTAGCCCCTTGACAAGTTCATGGAAAAATTGAGGCTCCAAAGGCCCAACAGCGACGTATTTCCCATCCTTGGTCTCATAGGTATCATAGAAAGGGGAGCCGCTGTCAAGCATATTATCTCCCCGCGGCCCATTCATCATCGGTGTCTTGCGGGCAAGTCTTGGGAAGGTGGCGAGGTATGCACTTCCATCAACCATATTTGCTTCGACGACCTGTCCCTCGCCTGTCCTTTCTCGAGCCAACAACGCCAGTAATAGGCCTTGGAACAGCGTTGCACCTCCTCCCGCAAAATCACCCAAGATGTTGACGGGTCCAAATGGCTTTTCTCCCTTTCTACCAAGAAGACTCAGTGCTCCAGAAACAGCGATATAGTTGATATCATGGCCGGCCATGTCTTTATACTTCCCATCCCTGCGGAAGCCGGTCATGCGACCAAGGATGATGCGTGGATTGACGGCCTTCAAATCACTGGGTCCCAGCCCCAGCTTCTCAAGAACACCGGGTCTGAACGGATCAATAACAATATCGGAATTCTTTACCAATGTCTTGACAAATTCAACCCCTGATGGATCTTTTAAGTCTACTGCAATTGATGATTTGTGACGCGTTAGCGCATCGGTGGTTGGCGGTGGCAGCTTGTCTGAGTGTGTGGAGCCAGGGACAGCTCGATCAATGCGGATAACTGAGGCGCCATTATCGGCTAATAAAAGCCCAGCGAAGGGACCTTTTGATAGGTAAATATCATTGTTTATTCAATTATTAGAGGTGGATTTCGAGGCTTACCTGGCGCAAGCCCAGCAAATTCTAGAACCCTAACTCCAGTTAAAGGTGGTGATGCCGACATGTTTCTGAAGATTTAAATGTTAAAATATTTAGGTCCGGCGGGAGAATTATATGTCATCTACTAATGTTACACTTGTATTTTAATAAAGAATTATGAGAATTACCCCCTATATAATAAAGTTCAGATAGCCTCCTCCATCCCCACTTCTCCCGCTTAATTGGGGTGCCGAGGTAGTGACTCGGGCCGTCGCCAGCCACATTACAAGGCTGACGCTATCCCCTCGGTCGTGCGTTCGAGGCTGAACAACATGTGGTCGCTCTGGCCACGAAAGCTGGAAGTTATAACAGGCAGCAATATAATGCGAAGGCACCATCGTATGACTGGTTTCTAAAATAAAATGTCACTAGATTTTAATACGGGTTTGCATCACGATAGCGTAGGCCCAAAGTTGTTTGGTGACAGAGATCCGTTACACAGGCTTCCTAATTTTATATGTTCTTATTCTTGTTTATCATCTCAGGGCAAAGTATGCCATAATTTAGTAAGAGGCCATGTGGCAACCTCACTAGCATGATGTCCTTCAATTCGTGAGGAGTCGTTTCTTGACTTTTTCAAATCCTTGTACTGTCTTGTCCCAAGTTGAAGCTCTTTCTCTGGGTAGGACAGATTTGATAGTCATCTCAAACAAGGCCGATACAGGCCTATGGTCTGATACCCGCACTTCATGGCGGCGGTAGTCGAACTGCTTGATGCGGTTGACGACATGACCATCGCGGTATAGAATCCTGTCGCACCAAGCCGGAGACCTCTTCTTTTCGCTTGTGTCGTATGTATCAGTCCCCACGTCATACTTGTATGTCGGGTTAAAGGCAATGGGCATCTCCTGGAAGGCTCGTAGCCTAAAGCCCGGATTCTTCCGCTTCGAAACGAGCAGTTGGTCTCTTTCCAGTAACTTAGCCAAGTTCCCGGCCTTGACCGCGTTGACGACAGCGTCCCGACCCATGGTGTCAATTCTATAGTTGAGATCCCCATTTATGATGCAGACCTCGTGGTCGAGAATCATGGATCCATCACCACCACCAATATAGCTATCCAAGCGTGCGCTCGAATCTCGCTCGACAGGAAGGACAGTACTTTCTAGAATGGCAGATATATCGTGGTTGCGTAGTTTTGTATGCGCCTGGCCTGCAGCTAAATGGCAATTGACAAAACACATCGAAGTGTCATCTACGACGAAGCGGATTATCAGGGCACCCTATTGCGGAGATTAGTCACATATAATTTATGGGGAAAACATGCATATCACGAACCTTATTTCCGTGCAAGCCACCCATTCCGCGCTTGACTTCCGTAGCGCCGAGATTCTTAATCCGGTCCCGTAAGTGAGATTTTACGAAGATACATGTGAACAACCCAACGAGAGTCGATGACTGTAGCAAATGATAAAGCTCATTCTTGGGCATGAAGTCATCCAGGCATCTGACCAGATAGTCTCTCCAATCTCTGTACTGATGCGACATACGCTCTTGGTCAGAGTGGGCATCTTTCTTTTTGGACTTAAAAAAGCTCACTTGAGACAGGTTAGTATAATAATTGGCTGTCTATCAACGATGATGGAACTTACTAGCAGTGGCTTTCTTGTCTTCTAGGTCAACCAACTCCTGAAAGCCGAAGATAAGAATGTCTGGCGACCCGCTCGAATTCAGTAAATTCCGAACGAAGCTAGAATCTTGGTCCGAATTACGTAGGCTGCTGGGAGTCGAGGCGCCGGCATTCCATGTCATAACGAGGGTGCGAATGTTTTGGAAGGTGCAGAACTCCGCATCTCGTGCCCGCATTTCATTTTCTATTTCATAGTTAGTATCAATCAACTCGAATTAATTCATGGAATGCGTACCAAGCCAGTCTTCCCGTAGCAACCCATCCCACTGCTTCAGCAAATTATCTGCACCGAGAGAAATAACTTGCAGGCGATCGAGTTTGCGCGATGAGTTCCTATCGGCAATAATACCAATGACGGGATTTTCATGTGCTCTCCAGTCCTTTTTCATAACCCAAGGGGTTTGAGTGGTGTCGTAAACGCAAATCAATCCTGTGTTGAAACCGGCCCACAAATGCTGGCCGACCCCAACTAAAGAGTTTATTTTGTACAAGCTAACGTTTATTATGTCAAGACATGTAAACCTGTCGCGAGAGTATATGGTGACTTTCCCATCTGTGTGTCCGAAATATACCCGGTCAGGTTGACTGTTAATCGTTGCGCCAGAAACAACCTCGCCAGCGCTAGACTGGCATAGAGGTCGCTGGAGAAGCTGGAACGGTGCCCCTTCACTGGCAGTAGGATCGAAAACTCGAAGGTCTTTTCCTGTCGCATACCACAGTTCATTGCAAACAACAAGGGAGAATGTATGGCCTTTAGGAACCCGGAAAGTTTGGGCTAAAGCGTCGAAACTTTGCGTGGTTGCCTTATTTGGGACCCAGATGTGTAACGTTCCAACGTCATCGAGAGTCCACATTTCGTCTTTGTGACGATATATCTTAATAACTTCATGCCGGCTATGTGCTGCACTTTTTGTCGCTACGACGCTCTGTGAAGCAATATCAACTTCGACCAAGTCGCCGACATTATTGCCTAGCCATAGTCGTTGTCCTTCCTCTTCAGGGGTAGAGAATGCCTTGAAAGAAATGGACATTATCTTCACTGTTTCTCCGTGATTGAGGTTCAACAGTTTATCGCCAGTTACCAAGTTCCAGGCTCTTGTGAAGGTACCTGATGAACAAGCGTACTCGCCAATAACATCAAATATTCGTGCATCAAACTTTACCGGTATTTCTCTGACAGACTGGCCAATTATTGGTGGTCGGCGATTCGATCTAGAAGGGTCCGGATACTCGACACTGCTTGGAGGTGTCTCTGCCGTCGGAGGTTGGGCTTGTGAAGATCTTGGAATCGACGATTCTGGGGCTTCATATGTTGTTCGGGAAGCGTGTTGAGAATCAGTCGATTTTCTCATGGCAGTCTGATCGACTGACATTGATCTTGGATATGATCTCGGTGGAGTGGGCGGGTGAGAACGAGACGCAGATATATTTCTCTCGGGCGTCCTTGATAGTGAAACACTACGATCAACAACCTGAGGATTTCGAGCGTACGGTTGTAGGTCTTGCTGGTTGTTCGCGCGGGTATCGGGCATCGCATTAGACATGGATCGGTTTATGAACGGTTTGCTTGGAGGAGGCCTTGGTCTTGCGGGAAGACTGGGTTTCTGCTCATCCGAACTCTCTACCGCTATTGACCGAGAAATGGGTTCAAACTCCCTTCTCTTCGCTGCCGCAAGACTAATAGGCGCTGGAGAATACGGTTCAGTGTCTAGATTAACTCTAGGAGCAGTGTCATGAACAAGTAGACGAGACGGTGCTGCTGACGCGACCATGAACGGGCGATTAGGGCTGACCCCCCGACTGGTGGGCATGCTAGCTGGAAGCTCACGATACGCTGTAGATTGTGTATTTACAGGTATCATAGCCTCCCTATCAGTGGTCTGGCCGTATACAGAGTTGCGCTTGGCTGGTATTTTGGGCTTCTCTAGGCGGTTGGGTATAGGTGCAGCGCGTGGAAGCGGTTTTGCTGGGGCTTCTCTTCGTAATTCACCAGACCTCCTAGGAGGTGGAGGCTCGGGGGGCTGTGAAGCTGGCGAGGGCGATAATAATGGTGGTTTTCGAGATTCCACAAGCGGGGTCTGAGGCCTGCTTGGGATCCTAAAATGCCTTGGTGATGCGATACCTGGTGCCGAAGCCGCTATGGGTGTCTCCGGGGCCAAAGAACCCCGCGAGCCAGATATTGTCAGGCTGAGATTGCTCGGTTTAGGTGGTGACTTCGGTGGCTCTATTGTGACAGCTGGCGAGTATTGGGAAGCAAATTTCGGGCCAGTAGACACAGGCCTTTGGCGCCCAACTTCAGCTGCTGTTGGTTGAAGCCATCCAGAGCCATTTTGCCAGTTATTGGGAGCGGCCTCTTGTGTATGCAGCCCTGTAGGAGACGCAGGGCTGCTGCGGAAAGTTTGATGAGCTATTGGATTGGGCGACTGAGATCTCGACCGTATGCTGTTCCCAATCGGTGTGGTCAGTTGTTCGAAATGCGACAGCAACGAAGACACTGGTTTCTGTACTTTGGTTAGGATAGTGAGAATATAAATTATTAGAGAAGGCTTACAATGGATGAAGCATCCGTATTATCGGGACCATTGCCGCTCATATTTGCGTTTTATGTTTGTTTCCACTCTTCCAAGGACCCCACGTAATGAGCCATGTAACAAGTCGAGTACTTTTGAGATCCTGTCGACATTATCGTTTTGGTCCACTATCCATAGACTACAGATGCCCCTCAAAGCGCATTATTGTCGAAGAACACACTCGGCGAAGAGAAAGCTGGGATGTCGTTGTTGAATCACTGGCAGTAAGACCAGTATTTGTGGAGACACTTTCGGATAAGACGCGGCGGCGGTTTTCGCTGAAGTGACAGGCGCTTTATCGTCGTCGACTCTACCTTGATCGCGTCGCAAATAACAAACCAAACTATCGTAATAACTAGACAAATATCCAGTGGCTTTTCTAGACGTCGGCGGGCCGTTGAGCGGCTTGTGGATTTCTCGAGGTTGCTATTTATGGGCAAGTTCCGCCACAAGTCGTCAACCTTGGCGGTTTACGTACTTGGTTGGCAGGGTTCACGTAGCGCATAAATACCTTAAAATGTGCGGAAGCCATACAGGAACCGAACATGTTGTGCATTAAAGCGAGCACTACGTAATCAGAGAGACGGTGCTGCCCCGGTCCCGGTCCATTGACGTCCGATTTTGAGCTCATCAACATAAACTCTCCACAACCTTCCGGCCACAACATCAAGCCGACAGCTCTTTGTCTTACGGGTCTTGAGAAATATACTCCTGAAAAGCGACTACATCCCATATTCTTCACAATGAACACTGTCAGTACATTCACACCGCGCTCAGCTCACAAGCAGCTTACTGATTTTCGTGCAGGTTAAATCATTCTGGTATGGCTCCTACCCCCCAATGGAGAAGGCAATGCGAATCCTGACAGTATCTGCATAACAGGGCAGGATGGGGCTCGTTGTGTGTTGGTAGGTGTCTGTCATTCCAGCGACTGCGGTATACTGATTGTAGAAAACAGCCGGCGGGGCAGCATATTATTTCGCAAAGAAGTCTATCAACGCAGACCGACAGACCCGATTCCAAGAAGCTGAGGCAAAGCGACGCCGTTTAGCATCGCTTGAGCACCCCGGATATGGCCAAGGTAGCGGTTCATCACAAAGCGGTAAAGGAGGTGGCTCGAACATATCCCCAAGTCAAGAGGCAAGCTCCGACCCGGCTCCAACGCGGCATGATCCAGGGAGTGAGTCCCAACGAGTGATTGAGAAGAGCAAATATGAAGCAAGCCAGCCATACCAGACGAAGAAAGGGGACAGGTTTAGTTGAGGTGTCACGGAAAGTAGGCTCTTCGGCCTGGCCTGTTCACACTACACTTTGGGGACAGAATAGAAGATTAGAGGGGTTACAGCCATGGCGGGATGGCAAACTTCACGTAACTGTACTATATTACCCTCCTCTCCACTACAGACAGATGTATTATATGAAGTGGCTGTGTAGATCAGATTGGCCTCCTGACGTGCACCACATACATTTGACATTTGAAAACCACACCATAAAGATTTGACAGGGAAGACTATTTAGACTCCATTCTATACCATACAGTGCCGTCAGTGAATTTGTGTGGCGCCGTGTGAACTTTTCGTCTTCTCGATCCCCATGACGGCTGGCACATGAAATTAATTCAACGCCAAGAGACCGAGGCTGAAACCCGAGAATCGTCGGACCAACTGGACGTCATTGTTGATGCCGACGACGGGCAATTCGCAACGCGTCAAGACCAAACTTGCGAAGTAAAGCCATAAATATGGCGTCTCATCAAATAGCCATTGCGAAGGCTACATTCGCAGCAAGTTTACTGAGGCCAGACCCCGTACCAGTACCTCGCGATGATGTAGCGCAATTCCACACGCTCCTCGGCGCCGTGTCGACACAGTGCTCACCAACAAATATCCAGGTTGGGCAAAATGTTCCCAGATATAACTCCATACGATAGCTAAAATACGATCGGTGATAGAAGTGCAAACGATGGGTTCTTTCCAATGTCATCCAGTCTACAACGCGAATTACAGCTCTCGCGAAATTTCTGGCCGCGCTCTCAGCCTCATTTTCAGACGCAGATAGAAGTGCATTGGTGTCAGCTAAGAGGGAAACTTCAGCGAAAAGAAAGCGCCTACACATACTATACCTGATCAGTGATCTCATTTACCATACCAAGATCCGCGATAGAGATACCTCTTTTGCCGACAACTTCCTACCTCTTCTCGCCAACCATATCTCCAGTGCCGCCTCTTTCAAAAATAGCCCAAAGCATTTGAGGAAGATCCAGAGGTTGCTCGATATATGGGAGGAGAAACACTACTACTCAACGAACGATATAAATAAAATCCGGCAGACAGTCGAGACCGCCCAACCATCGAACTCAACGACGAACGAACCGGGAGACTCGGATTCTAGGACAGTATCTAATGTCGCAGCCAAGTCCGCCAAAGATGCCCCATTTACGATGCCTGCAATGCATGGCGACCAAAACCTACCGTGGTACGATTTGCCAGCAGGGAATCTCATGCAGCATATTATACCCAATTCAACGAGGCCAATTGATCCGACCCTTGTCAAGCCTATGCGGTTTGTGCCAGGGCAGGTGGATGAAGAACTTCTTGCCTCCGTAAAGGCATTTTTAGAGGAAGTTGAGACTATCTATGACCCAATCGCCTGCCAGGATGAAAACGAATCCCGGGCTTGGGACGTGGACGAGGTTGGTCGCCGGATTCTCCGAGACGATCTGGGCGACGTGGTTGCAGGCGACGAAGGCTATTATGGATGGTCAACTACGCTTTGTGAGAAGATGAAGAAGAGGATGAACAAAAACAAGTCTGGGCCTCCCGGAACCGAAAGGTCGAGGGTGCTGAATCGCAACTCCAGCAGGAGTCGAAGTTCAAGCCGAGATAGTCATCACGCCAAGAAACGGCGGTATGCCGGTTCTCATGCCAGCAGCAGGAGCAGAAGCAGGAGCAGTAGCAGAAGCCGGAGTCCAAGCCAAAGCAGGTTCCGAGGCAGAAACATCCCTTTCGAGGGTGCACAGCCAGAGATGCCTACGCCGCACTCTGCCGCACCTCCGTATCATCAACAACATCAGCAACATCGGCAACACTTCCCGCCGCCGCCGCAGTCAACATCTCATCATGCTGATCACGGCCAACAATACAAGCCGTGGCAACAACCTCCCCCTCCACCACAGTCCCCAGACGCATCCCAATGGCAGCAGCAACAACCGATGCATGGCTACCAGGCCACTGCGGGGGGCTGGCCCCCGCAGTATCCTACTGGCAGAGATTCTGGTCAACAACCGGGCGCACATAGTGGATCTGGTCATGGCCATAATAACAGTCATCCTGGATACAGAGGGTACTGAATGTATTATAAATATTCGGATAATCTTCACCACTTTCCAGTAGTGGTAGTTGAGATACCAGCAATAAATACCAGCAATGACCACGTAGCGAAGAAAGTTTAGAGCTAGCTCTATATTTACCAGTGCCTCACAATTTTCCTCGTATTTACTGTGCGCAGTGCATGGAGACAAAGAGAGCGTCACTGGTTGGCCATGGATGGGCTATTTCAACATTGAGAATATCAGACGGGTCCAACCTCGGTATTATAGTTTATATATGGCGGCGATTATATTACGGAATACATAAGCCTAGTACGACAACTAAAGGGACAGCAAACCAAAGGTGCACAATAAGTCGTCTTCGATTCCGATTCGGAAGGCGCCAAAAGATAAGATAATTATGCCATACTAGAGTATTCAGCGTCTAGCGTTTGGTGATAATCGTCTAACGGGTGCCGTTGACGCCCAATTAAAACTCCCGCCCACGCCCGTTATCAGCATCCAGCTCAAGGCTGTTCCCCGCACCCAAGTTAATCATGCACGACACATAATTAGCCTCTCTACTTCGTAAAATTATCAGCTACTGTAACTCCAAGTTTCCCCAAAGTTAGTGGTTCATGGTAGCGCACAGGGATAAGCATCTCCATAGTTTCTTTTGCCTTTCGCGTTGCAACTGACAACTGCTAGACGCCGCTTCTCGTCTCCAGGATATGTCTGCACAATAGCATGAAACGGGGTCGATGAGCATCGCAACTCATTCATATAGCCCCATCTCATCGTTGTGTCATACCTAATGATAACAAATCAAGTGGATACAGAAACATTCCCCTAACATAGCTCATAACTGGCGTTTAGCCTTTTGAAATAAAGCTTGTTCGAGTCATCTTTCAACGCTCAAATACCCAGACGCCGAAAGCCAAGGAAATCCAAATCTCAGACAAAGCCGCCAGTTTGCGGAGTTAGGAGGCCAGAATTTGTGTAAGGCCAAATTGGCAATTAAGGTCAACATGACCGCCCACATATCGTTCATTGTAAGCACATAATCTACCTCCCGGCTGATTGCTTTTCACAACCGCGGGCGTTGTTGGACCCAGAAAGATTGTTATCAAACATCCAACTCAAATATCAACGCCGACAAGGTCCCTGCATGCAGGATTTGAGACATAAAATGTTAACTGGCATATACAGGACGGCAACTTTAGTCTGATTCATATCCCGCTGTCTCTCTATTCAAGCTTTCTGCAGCCAATACTGCGCGTCTTGCTACCTCATGATATCGTGGTACCAAATTCGGCAGAGGCGCGGGACCACATGCCAGATCCGTCCCCGGTTCATGGCAAACAAGGATTCCTCAACATTAGCATTACGCCAATAGAATGTTCAATCGTGTGTCGAACAGACTATGCGGAGAGGGTCTTCCAGCCTGCGATGGAGCTTTTGCCAAAGGACGCGCGTGAGCAGGTCACCATCTCTCGAGATCCCTATCTGGTTTTCTCCATCAGCAGCGCTGGGATGGAGGCCAGTCAAAGGGTGATGGACCTTACAGCACCTCTGGCCATGGCCGGGATCTCGATCTTCTTTATCACGACCTATTATACCGACTTTATTTTGGTGCCTGCCAAAGACCACAAAACTGTGGTCCAAGCCCTGTTGGAACAAAAATTCGAATTCTCAGAGAGTGATGCTACATATGTAGCTCCGTCTGGGATTTCGCATTCCAGAGACACCAGCTCCGATGCTATCAAGCCATATACTCCACCACCGTCGAGTGTTGTTGAACTCCAAGAACGCACCTTCAGGCTTTTAAGCCAGAGAAATGTTGTGCCGTTTACTAATGATGGCCTATATCTCGCCCAGTGTTCAGGAAAGGAGCTCGATTCCAACAGCAACTACTCGTCACGGCCGATGTCCAACAACAGTAATGAGGCACCACCTCATTCAACCTGGCTGCAAAAAGTTGAACCTAACCTATATCTAAGTCTTGTGGCTGCCTTGGCAATACAGCCACGTTTTCTCTCTGTAACGCTGACCAAAGATGATGCACCATCACTGCTCATCGACAAAGCTTTACTCTACTTGTTTGGAAACTTTATTGCTGGGGATACAGACTGTGACTTGGTTCCGATATTTTTGGATCTTAGTAACCTCCCATTGGAATCAACGGGTATTGTCTGCGGTGTCGCTGGCCGGCTGGTAGACCAAACGAGGAGCTTCGACTCTGACGGGGGAGAGCTGACATATTTATCGACAGCCCGTGCTGGGGTAGTAATACTACCCTCGGAAAGATCAGAGGGAGCTCTTCAAGCATTAGTGCCTTCATTGGAGGCCACATAAAAGAGCTTTGACTTCCAAGCGAAGCTAAAAAAGAGCTCTTTCGCTCATGGCACGAATTTCCAAAACTTCGTTGGCGTTGGTCATCGATCTGGAGTATATCATGTTTGGATATGAAAATTGAGAATTAGATATTTACAGATTACTTTACACATCTTACCGGGCACTGTCACCAGTACGAATGATTGCGGTATCTCTGACAAGTTTACATGTATATAGTGGCAAAAAGTGTTACGTTTTGGTATGCCTGTTAATAATAACCCCCCCAAGGATCGTTGACGTCATCTACTTTCCGTGATACCACAACAAGCCCCAAACGTTCCCAGATGGCCTAGATTTCCATGTCGTAACTTATCCCAAGAAACATATCTACATGATTGGTAACTGACAGCCTGGTTACATAGTCACAATTTCGTGTCTCCATGCCAAGCCTGGTTCTCGCAGATCGAGACACGATCTTGTATATCTTCCAATCACTTTAGCTAGTTCCCCATCTGATATCCAATCATATCTACAAAGTCTAGACATAGTCTTGAGTTACCTACATCATCTCGAACGGGTCTCACCTGATACTGCTCATACACCATTGATGAGCAGCATGTTGGCTTGATAAGTGTCCCCAAACCCCCACAATCCAGGTCTTGATCGAAGGCCCTTAACCAATTTTTCCATATAGTTCCTATATATCCTACTTTTAACTGTCTTCCTTCTCCTTCGTCCTCTTCCTCTGGAAACCTATTTTTTGATCTAGCTATATTTCCTTGCAGTACTGGACATCTCAACTCTGCACGAGACGTTCTCAAAAGTCGACACCATGCTCGTCGATCCAGTTATGCCTCAGTATACAAAGCTGAGCAGCTTGCTCCCAACTGCAACTGCCCATCCATCCGTGGGTCCGATTGTGAGTGTAGCGCTCAGAAATCCAGATTTCTTCAAGCTCCTGTGCTTTGGAAGGGAACGCAGACTGACCAGAATTTCGTGCAGCCCACAGTTATCCCAGACTTGCCTGTTTACCAAGAGCTTGGCCATGCTGGACATGTTGCTCTGTGGGTAGGCTTCATTATTATGCTCCTATCCACTCTCGCCTTTATTAGCATGGCGTGGCGTGTCCCAGTGGTAAGATTACCCCTCCCCCATTAAACAATGCCACAGAATATTGACCCTTTATTAGGAAAAGCGTGTGTTCCATATTATAGCGACCTTCATTGCGGCATTCGCCACTATCTCATACTTTGGTATGGCTACTGGAGGAGGAAATTCGTTCGTGCATATGGTAGCCTCGAATTGCCACAAACACACCGACCCAGTACAAGATGTTGATGTCTTCCGGCAACTATTTTGGGCCAGATATGTCGACTGGCTCCTTACGACCCCTTTGATACTTCTCAGCCTTGCACTACTTGCTGGACTTAATGGCGCCGATATCCTCGTCACCCTCGTGGCAGATGCCGCCATGATCCTCACCGGCCTTTTCGCAGCTCTCGGCGAGACCAAGGGACAGCGTTGGGGGTTCTATATCATTGCGTGGTTGGCGTACCTCGTCGTGGTCTATCAACTCGTCATTGGAGGCCGACGTAACGCATCCCAGAGAGGTAGTGGAACCGCCAGGTTTTTCGGTGCCGTTGGAGGATTCATTCTTGTTCTCTGGACAATTTATCCAATTATATGGGCTCTCGGAGCTGGAAAGGGTAAATTGTCAGTTGACTGCGAGATTATTTGGTACGTTGTGCTTGATGCGTTGGCCAAGCCAGTGTTTGCTTTGTGGCTCCTGTCCACCCATGCTCGAACCGCCCCGACCATTGGGGGATTCTGGAGCCATGGCCTAAACAATGAGGGCGCTCTACGTCTTGATGATGACGAGGCTGCTTAAATGGTATTCCTCGAGAAACCCAATATTAATAGTTCATAATTATTGGCCGGCGGATTGGACATGGGTATGAAGAGAGCATGAACGTTTGGCGCAGTTATCTGGAACTCTTTAGCAAAATACTGGCCTTGACAACAGGATATTTCTATACAAAAACTAGCTGCTTCATATTAATCAAATGCATATTTTTTTATTGGAACTCTTCATGCTATACTGTGACTCGAATTTCATTATCCAAACGCTAGCCTGCTGTCTGACGGTGCATATATTACCTTGGGCGTTTCGGGCAGGGTAGCATACTCCTAGTGGATCAAGGCAGGAATATTCATTCCACGTAGGAGGAATAGAGCTGCTGAGAAATCCGGTTCGACTTCCAACACGCCGGGAAGGAATGGGTGATATAACATATAGACCAAATGTTCCGGAACAATGACTGGCGAGTAGCTCTTTAAAATAAGTCTAGTCAGCCATTTGGACTCTCGAGCTGGCAGTCGCTGGTACAACCTGCCAAGCGACGCTGTCGAACCACCACATGTCTCATCAACCGCCAATGGTCTCGAGTGTGGTGGTGAAGGAGGAGTCTGCCTGGCAAAGGCTACAAGCACTTGCTCGATATCTTCGATAGTAACTCCGCTCGCTCGTGGCTGCACAGCTGCTTCCTGGGAGTCATAGTCAGCACAGGAACCGTAGTTACAGCTCAATTTTGGAAACTGACTTCTTTTACATCCTGATCGACCACTCGTTCCACACATGCACCTAAATCGCCCACTCCCGCTCCAGGCTCCCTCCAACGCGTCAGGGCAGCAACTCGTGAAGACGGCAGTGATAACGCCCGACAAATTATTTTCTCCAAGCTTTTGCTGTCCAACCCGTACACTCTCTGGGTTCTATCGGGGAACAGCGTCGATAGCAAAGCTAAGCCATTTGCGTCGTGTCTGATCTTTTGCCCATGCTTCTCGAACCAATATAGAACAGCGTCTCGTGACTTCTGTGTAGCATCCTTTGGGAGGTATGGTGGATATCGCGAATAGACCTGGTCCAACCGCTCAAGGAGATCGCAGATGTGCGCGAATCGAAAAGGCATGAACGCAACTAGACATCTCCAACCTAGGGCTCAATATATGGGCCAAATAGAATGAGGTTTTAGTGTTCGTTCCAGTTGGTGGTGGGTTTAGTTCAACTTTGCCGCAATAGTAATTTGGGATGGCAATGAATAATGGAGGATAACGCGGATGCACGTGACCATCTGGCAGTAGCGGCACGGCATGGATCATTGTTTTACTACGTAACTTAACGTAAGTCGTGGCGTACTTGGGCATATGGCGTACTACCTAACGCAAACGACAACAGTCGACCAAATGACAACCACGGCCTCGGGGCTCGACTACGATGCAGTCATAGATCTCCTCTATGTCCTCGTCGTCTGTGTCTTTGGTTTGGTTAGGTACAGTACTTTCTAGCGCTATACTCTTGCCTTTTGTCGCTTTCTGTCTGGTCGCATTTTCGGCCTCTATAACTTGAGACCGTAGTTTATCTGTAGTAATATGGAACTGTCCTTTCAAAACTGCTCTCTTGCCTTTGTTCTGTGTCCTTCGTGTTTGTATTATAGCTCGTAGGTTGTCTGCTTCACGTCGTTGTAGAAAATTTCGTTTGTTTAGTCGCTGTCTCATCTGCCAATCTTTGGATGTAGCGGGTTGTAGGTGTATTAAGGACCGTAAAGCCGTAGATAAACACGGTATTGGCTTTGCGTAATGTAGAGATATCAGGCGGACCGCTATTCTGAAAGACAGACTCAAATATGTTATGTTCATTTGGTGTTTTAGGTCGGCCGTCTGTCGCATCTGTCACGGCTTTTAACGTCCGGATTGGTTTTTGTGGTTGGAATGGGTGTAAGCCGGATCCCCTCATGCGGAAGTAATGTTTAGCATCGAAAATGCGTCTGCGTGTGCTCGTACGTATGCTGTTAACCACTCTGCCTTCTGTATGCGTGTAAGTTGTGCTTCATTAAGATGTGAGAGTACGGCCGTCAACCGCTTTTTCAGTGGCCTAAACACCGCAACATCAAGCCGTTGTACATATAAGAAGCCGTTGGTCATGTCCGCCACCTGCTTTCTCACGCGTCGCTAGCTCAAACACGCGTAGTAACCATTCAATACCATGTAGATTGCTTGTCCAGCCTTTCGAGTTTGCGGAGAAGTGCCATTTATCAATGAGTTCTTGCGGGATCCAGCTTTGTAAAACGTTTTCACCTTTGAATATAATAAGAGGATCGATGGCCGTTCCATCTATGCAAATACACTCAACCGTAGACACCCATTCTTGTCGGCCTTGGTGTGCTTGATGGCGTGTACGGAGGCTGGAATCAACAATGATTCGAGTACTCTCTATAGTTCCAATCGAAAACCCCGTCTCATCCATATTATACACGTTATGTTCTTTGATTTTCAGACCCGTCACAAGGTCCTTGTACGCGTCGAACCACCCTACTAACACTTCTTTTGTAACTCCGTTCATCCTTTGCGATTCGATTCTTCTTCCTAGTCAGACTTGTAGGTGTGGATGTCGTTTAATAAAGCGTGGAACCCAATCCTGTCTAAGCGCAAAGTTCGGAATCTGTTCGTGGGTGTGCTCGTCGTCAGAGTGTTCGTGATCTTCGAAAACGCGGCAGTGGTTTATACGGATCTCATCTGCAACCTCCCGTAATAGGTATTATGGGAGGTTGCAGATGAGATAGGTATCTAGTGACTAGGCGCGTATCCACCTTTCGTAAGGACCTTTATCCACTTTAATAACGTTGCTTCTTGGTTTTTCGAGAGGAGTTGTTGTTTCTGTCGCGCTTCTGTCTGTGAAGGCATTCCTCGGACGCGGTTAGCAACAGTATTCTTACAGAGACCTAACGCTTTTGCAGCTGCATAAGAATTTATATTTGCCAGGCTGGACGCCTAATACTGCCTCTGCTACCCGGATATCAACTTCTTGCGCTTTTTGGCTTCTTCGACGTACCATTGCTGTGTTGGTTATCATTTACTTGGGTGGTGGGGTTCGCGTTAGGCCAAGTACGCCACACGCCCAAGTACGCCACGACTTACGTTACAGGGCTCAGGAGGCCAGTCAAACATCAGACCGCCACCCAACAGTCTTTCCAATGACATATCTTCGAAACGGAACACATCCGCTCTTTACAAAATATTACACTGATTCGCATACACACGTTCGTGCCTGGAAGCGCCACAACATGATATCTCATTGAACAAGATATACTCATAAATCCGTGACGACATCTGCCTCGCGGCGCCCCCCACCCCCCCCAAAGACACGATGGATACGGCGAAGCAACAGCAGGCTTCTAGCTCAAAGTTAGCTGCATCCCCTACGATACTGAGTACGAACGATATGCCGCCCGCAATTCCGGAGGCCACACCGGCGCCAGGAGAAGAGTCGTCAATGTTGCCGCCTCCCGTACCTGAGCCGAGGAGCAGGCCACTATCGTTAGTATCGAAGAAGAACAATCGGTTATCAATTAGCTTTCCAGTGCAACCATCCGGGACAATGTCCCCTGGGAGACAGACACCGACTCAAAACTCTGCATTTCCATCACCCCTCGCTGCCAATCAATCGGCGTTACCGTCACGGCAAGATTCACCAGGGTTTATGCAAGCTTTAGCTGGACAAGAGCGAAAGGTCTTCGAGCTCCGAGAAGAACTGAACCGAGCTGAAGTGGAGCTTAAGAAGCTTAAAACACAATGGGCGATTCACGAAGCAGATAAGAAGAGGGCAGAAATTAGGCTGGTGCGGAGGCTCGAGCCGATGCAACTAGAGGACACAATCCAGGGCCAAGCCACCCCATTGGGCGATGAAGATATTGCTAGAAGGAGTGCTGAGCTTGATCGCCGAAAGGCGATTCTTGCGGTAAACGTCACCAAAGTTTCGAGGAGGAAAATAATCACGGGTGGCCATACTCGCGCGCTATCGTTGTTATCTCGAGATAGGTCTCCGAATGGGCAGTACCCAAGCTTCGATACTGTCGAGAGGAGTAGGGATGGTTTTGACGTTGGCCCCGGTCTTCCTGCGATACCCCGGAAGATGACGATGCCGGATACCAGACAAGGCCTTTCTAGGGTCACCTCAGATAGAGCAAGGCATTCTTACCAGGGCAGTACGACTATTGGCGTTAAGCAAATTGCTGAGGATTTAAAGGCTGGGTTATGGACATTTATGGAGGACTTGAGACAGGCAACTGTCGGTGAAGAAGCCCTCGAGCGACCTCCCACAGGTGAAGAGTCGGGTAGGTTTGTAGACAATTCTAGAACAATCGCAAATACCACAGGAGCGAAAAAGGCCAGCCATGGACCGATAGCAAAGAAGTCCACTAGCAGGGACCGTGGGGCAGCTTCGACTTCGAAGGCAGTTCCAGTGTCGAGGGCAAAGGATACTGGCCCGCAGTCACTATCACAGACGCAACCTACCCAACCGTCAACTCCGCCGCCGAATAAAACGACCATGTCTACCTCGACAGTCGACGATGATTGGACAAATTGGGACTCCTCTTCTTCAAAGGAAGCTTCACCTCGGTGGAGCAACAGTACCATGCCATCGTCGGATGACGCTAGCGAGGCGGGGAAACCATGGTGAGAAGAATTTCAGCGCTCCAACGACTTATTGTAAGATTTTTACTTACACGTTTCAAGCGCCGAGTCTAGTGATCTAAAGGAATCTTTGATAACCGACACGCCTCCTGTGGAAGAAGAATCACCCTGGGCGGCATTTAATAATTTTACTCCTGTGAATTTGAAGCGCACAGCATCGAATTTCATAAAAGAGTTTGAAAATAGTCTCACGCCTCCGTCACAATCACCCAGCAACGGCCGCGATAACCCCGGGATGCAGTTGTCCAAGGACAAAATTATCTTCGACAACGAGGCACGACTTCTACTGAACAACCTGCCTTGAAATGGCCAGATGTATATAATGCGCCTAACGAACTTACTGATGCTGGATACGGACGCTTATCGACGCTGGGTCTGTACGATTACTGATACCGGATATCGGCGATTTTTGATGGTAGAAGCTTATTTAGATTCTATACTCGTGCTGCTCAAATCTCTTGAGTGGCTGTGCGCACGGGAGAATATCAATTTTGGATGTAGATCCGTTTGCCCTGTGTTATTGTTATATGTGCTCAACTCCTATATGCACTGCAGAGGTGCTGTCAACGCTCACTGGTCCCACAAATACCCTTCTACACTTTTCACGACCACAAGCACTGTGGTTCATCCCCTTTGTGCTTTGCCACTCGAGCCGCAGAAGGCAGCAAAATTAATCGATGTTCACGTGCTCATTTAAAAACCTCTCGATTCCTGAATAATTATATCTTTCAAATAAGAAGCCATAATCAATGCCATAGATATATATAAGACACGTTATCAAGTTTATCAAAATGAGGAGTTAAGTCGGGGGTGAGTGGGGTTCAGCCAGCCATGTCCCGCCGCAGGTGGTCCAGAAAAGCCTAGCTAAGCGGAGTTGGATGGCAGAATTTATATTTCTTATGCCAACCTGGAGGGACATCAGTACGACCGCAACACTCAAAGGCCAGCCACAGCGCAGACATCCAGATATCGAAATGAACGGGCCTATGTTTGGCGGGTTCAGTGGCGGCGGCCAGCAGATTAATGGAGGCGATGCGGACGCCATGGCTGCGGTGAGAAATGTTCGTCCAACCCCATATACGGATCCCTAGAATGGGACCGACCGGACATGGAGATGCGCAATGCCTGTTGCCGCCTTATGACTTAGTACTGACTTGGATAGATGCAAATGATTATGGAGTCGTGTCCTACGAAGGCTATCATGTCTGGAACAATGGGATTTGCTTTGGGTGGCGCGTTCGGTCTCTTCATGGCATCTGTAAGTTGACCAACCCCTCGAATGATAGCCGCGCATTCAACCTACTAGTCTTATCAGTTTCTAACTTGCTGCTACAGATGTCATACGATACACCTATGACCCCAGAAGGCCGAGCCATGGGCAACCTCCCGCTCAAAGAACAGCTACGAAAAGGTTTCAAGGACATGGGTCAGCGCTCTCTTTCGTCCGCGAAGAACTTCGGCAAAGTCGGCGCCATTTTCGCCGGTACGGAGTGCTGTATAGAAAGTTATAGGGCGAAGAATGTACTCTCGAATGGTATTATCGCTGGATGCATTACCGGAGGCGTGCTTGCTGCGCCGGCTGGACCACAAGCGGCTGCAATCGGATGTGGCGGGTTTGCGGCATTCAGTGCGGTTGTCGATGCTTATATGAGGCAACCGAAAGAGGACTGATTGTGGAAAGTTGTGGTATCATGGGTTGGGGTGATATGTTCCAGTGGCGTTTATAGAGAAACTCTCCGGTCCGGTTGTAAGATTATGTATGTGTATGGCTTGTACAAAGAGGTGGAAATGGCATATGCATGAGCGGCATGGCGTTTGGAAAGCGGACTTTATAGTCTTGGGAGATATAAAGTCTTTGATAGTTGGCTGCGATGGAATGATTTCACAGCGATTCTTGGCGAAAGCCATTGAAGGGGGGGTAATGTTGTATTACACACAGGTAAATACATACACGAATTATATTTGGATTCAAGACATCAAGCCTTTGGGATGTATTTCTATATATTACGTGGACCACGATAGAAGCCCTTTCGTAGTTTGTACACCAGGGAGACCCCGCGCCCCTTTCGCTAACCCCCTCCCCATTCCCCATGCTATAATGCTACAAGCCTTCAAATCCAAATGGCGCCTCCCATTGTAATATTAGCTGTTGGAAAAAACCGTAGTCTTCAATTTGAATCCCAGAAAGTTCCTCAATGCTCATGCTTCTTCATCATCGTCCATCCTCGCGCGCTTTGACGCACGTGGCTCGTCAGCTTGGATCCCATATCTCTTTCCACTTCCGCCCTTCTCCACCTCTGAAATCAGCTCCGCGACATTGAAAGGGTCTTCGCCGCTATCTTTCTCGAACTGAACAGGTCCTTCACGTTCCTGCAGAATGCTGTTAGCCACATTGTTCGATCTGTATTGGGACATATGATCACCTACCTCAGCATCCTCTGCACCCTTGAAACCACCGCGGCCAAGTACTTCGAAGCGACTGGATTTCTGTATCCTCAACATCTCGTTACCTGCAGCTTCTTCACCCTCCCCATCATCCATGTTTTGCCGCGGCCTGTATATGCTGCTAATAGCATCCTGCGCCGCAAATAATGGCTTGTCATATGCTTGATCTTCGTTGAACCCTGTATCGAATCCACTCGTCTGGTTAAAAAGCCTAGAGTCCCACATGCTTTCTGTTGACTGAGTAGGTTTGGCAAGACCGAGTGCTACCTTTTCGGATATGTCACGGTTCTGTTCTCTTGCCATCATCTGAACACGCCTTTCTGCTCCCATCCTTGATTGCCTGAGTTTACGTTCTTCCTCCCGATGCCTCTCCTGTCGTGCCTTCTCGCGCTCCCGTACCTCCTGATCATCGTCGCTAGCGGAATAATCTGATTCCGAGCCCGAATAGCTTCTAGATCTTGACCTCGAGTCGCGAGACCCTCTTCGGCCAGCCCCAGCATTTGTTCGCTCTTCGCGCGCCTTCTGTGCAAGCATACGAAGGTGGTCCTCCTTTTGCTCCTTCTCCTTCTCTGCTAGCCTCTGTTGCATAATTGCGCGCTGCTTGACTTCTTCTCTTGCGTGTCGGTCAGCCGTGAACAACGCTTCGGCAAATTGCGCAAACTTGTCGTTGATCGTCACGTCTTGTAGGCCACGTCCATCTGCTGCCAGACGCTTATCCAGCGGAACAGTATAACCCTTTGGATTCTTCCAGTTAGATACCGGTGGAGGGATCTTCCAGGCTTCTTGGTCTTCTGCTGTCAATTTTCGGGGTGGCGAATGCATAACTGGAGGTGGTGGACTGGGTGGGCCTCTCGGGATCTTTTTGTGCTTGAACTTCGGTGGCTCCATCGGATCTTGTTGTCGCTCCACGATTTTCATTATCCGGTCGTTCTTCCTTGTGTTATCGCCCATCTGGTTTGCTGGTGTATATCGCACATATGTCGGGTCCTTCCTCGCCCCTACGTTAACATTCTTGGGCTTTTGTGCAGCGACCGCACCACTGACTAGCACTGCCAGGGCATTCTTCGTCTTTTCTGTTGAGGCCGCCACCTCTTCTTCGCTTGGGCGACTTAGGTTTATATCTCCAGCATCGGCCCGCTGTCGCAGAGGAATCAAGTCCTTAAAGGAAGCGTGAACGATTCGGTTGTCGTTGTGACCACGGCGGGCAATAGCATCGTATTTCACTTTCCCTTCGGCGTCTACCTGGACAGCAAGTGCATTGCTTGTTGCTTGCCCTTTCCTGCCCATGTCCATCGGATATTGTGCTACTGGGATTTCAGGAAAGGCTCCCCCGTCGCCGAAGTCGTCTGCGCCTCGAGGCCGCCATCCTGCTCTCCGACCATAGGGTGGCGGACCGGATTTCTGTCCGGTCAAGTTAGGATGAGTATTCTGGATTCTGGCTGGGTTGTTACCTTTAATACTATCTGAGATTCGTTCAAAGCCTCAGCACCAACGATGCGCGGACCTCTTTGTTGAGCGTGCTGTGATATCGCCTCTTCTTCGCCGGTGTATTTGGGAAGAGGCAAGGCCTTAAATAACGAGGATGATAAGGACGCCATCGCGCGTTGCTGCAATGTTGGTCAGGTGAGTTTACTTTTGAGATTCTGGAATCATGGCCAAGAGGCGAGCTTAGCCAAAACCACCAGTATTAGCGTGTGCGATAGGCGCGTCGCGCTACAAACTGCCACGGTACAACAGATACATATGTAAAACCTATAGCCGCCGTAGGACAACTTCACATTTCCAGCGTGAGCAATAAATCCCATAGACTCATCAGACTGAGTCACGCTTTACGTGAAAGTGGCTATTTATGACTGGAAGCCAGAACCCAGGAAAGGCGCTTCAGTTGGGTCATGTGATTTTATATTGTACTCTACTAAGGTTGCCACGGTCTCCAAAAACAATGTGCTCCTTCCTGCCAGGCAGACTTGCCCCTCCCTGTTCGTTCCAATCATGTTGCCACATAAAAGTCCAGGAATCCCGTAACGCCATGCAGTTAACTCACCCAACATCGCTTCATACATAGCCCTTCCTGGCGCCCTGGGGTGACAGCATGAGCTTCTTGACTGACTGGTAGTCCACCGTGGAGCTTACCTGGAAAAAGAAGCGCACGATGAAGACTTGCAGCGCAGCCATTGCGATCATCATCAAGCTTTCTATTATGCTGAGGTTGAAGATCCTCCGCTCTGTGCTTCGGACGGTGCTGAAGTTACGGTTCTCTCGCGTGCGGAAGTATTTCTGGTTGCGGGTGATTGTTGAGAGCTGGCCGGAGAGCTTGAAGATAGACTCTTCCAGGGCGGAGGTTTGCTCGGGCGAAGTGCCTTGCTTGGATGGCAAGCTTGTGCGCTCTTCATTCTCGACCTGGACGGGTATACAGTCAGCGGTTGGTTTGGGAGCAATTCGTTGCACGTGTCCAACTCACAGTTATCTCGAAGTCCACAAATTTCTCGGCGAAGGTGCTCATCTCATTGTTGAAACAGAACCTGTACTCCCCAACCTCAGTAGCCGTGAAGACAAAGTCTCCCTGACGCTCCTTCTGCCCGTCCATCATGATCTTCTCGTTAGGGCCAACAACTTCATAGTCGACATCGAATGAGCCTCCTGCTTGGACCTGGGCGCAATTTAACGTTAGCAACTCGTAGATACAGTGTCAATCCATGTGCAGGTGCTTACAGCGAAGTAAAATGCGATCTTGGCGCCTGAATGCTCCACGGAGCTGAAAAAGCAGGCCTTCTCGTTGGCGCTCAACTTATAGGTGAGGGCGGTCGCAGAGACGATGGGCGTTAACGACGCCAGGACGCCGCAGGCCCATACCAAAAGTCTCATGGTGAGATTGTTGAGTTTATTCGCCTGACGTTTGTGGGAGGAGTTTGGTTTGCTGTTCAGTGAGAGCTCTAATGTCAAGAGTCGCGAGATGGTCGATGGTGATGACAGAATGCCCCTTGGCCAAAGTGGGTGCGGCGCGCACGGAAGTTGCCGCCACACATGATGATAACCATAAGTTACAGTATGTACATATAATCACTTTCACAGAGCAACAACCACAGAACATCCCAAGTGACTTCAAACTATGCACATTGTTGTTACTACTATGGTTTGGTGTTGTACAGTTTGTATAAATCCATCGAACTGTCTTAACCACTGGGCTGCGCCATGCAGTTTTCTACCACTGCCCCTTAACGCTCTTATGAATAGTTTACCGCAACTCATCTATCGTGCCAATCCCAATATTTTTTATTTCCAGTCATGACAGGCGTGACAAATCAACCCGTAGCTCGTTAAGAGTCTCATAAACCTACTTGAGGAACAGATCAACTGCGCCATTACGTGCTAACCTAGTCCGATCAACATGGTCAAGGCCAAGAAGGTCGTCGTCGTTAGTTGCAACGTCCCATAATATATCATCTATGACAAGTCAGTCTATTGCACGAGAACAGTAGGACAGGAGTAGTTGTACCATCTTCTAGATATGTTGGCTTCGAATAAGAGCTACGCTTAACAACGGCAAACTTGATCTTGTCAAAATTCTTGCCTTTGAAGCCGGTCCGCTTCTCGAGGCGTTTCCTGGTCTCAGAAAATTTCTCGTCCTTCGACTCGTCAGTAAGGTTTACCAACAAATAGGGGGACTTTCTATTTTGACTTACACGCTGAATAGAGAATTTGAAAGGGAACCCATGAGGTTTATTAGGTTCGCCTTGGAAATGGAAGGCTTGGATAAAATGGCCAGGATCAACATTGACGTCCTCTTCAGGAATGCGCTCGGCAACAAGTGTAATGTATTCGGAGATGCTCGCAACGCTGTATTCAGGATTCATCTCCTTATACACCTTATTGTTGTGGATCCCATAGACTCGGATGGGACCTGCAGTCTCCTCATCATCTAACTTGGCCTTCTTGATGAGGCCTGATATGAGATCGGTGACATTTCCGCTCTTGGGGACAAGTACATCAAACGTTTCCTGTAACATTTATTAACAGGCTGTAATCAGAACAAACGAGAGATACTCACGTCTTTAGTTATCCCCTCGCTGAGCCATATTATTCTGAGGCTTTTCTTGGTGTCAAGCTCAGACAGACTCATTTCAAGAACCTCGAAATATAGCTCATCAACTCTCTGGTTGTTATTTCCAAACGTTGTATACGGCGGAGTGAGAATAGTGTGTAGAGTATGGTTCAAGCTTCGCTTTATTGGTGCTTTTGGTGCTCCAGTTGTGGCATTGACCGTATGGAACCGCAGGTGGGTAGGGTCGACGTTGATCTTCTCACCCACTTTTGCCGCAATTTGGTCGTACGAGTATTTCGAGCTCATCTCAATGTCCAGGACCTCTTGCCTGCCGACAGCTGTTTTAGAATATGGTAGGAAGCGAACTATTTTTCTGTACAAAAGATAATCATAGAACTGCTGCGCATCCTCGATCAAATCGGACGGACGAGGTGCAGAGGAATTTGAAGGTGAGCGGTTGGCATTACTTAAGAAGTCCGCACTGGATGAGAGGCTAGCGAGACTCCTGTTGTTTTTGGCACTGCATACATTAGCTACATCGCTTCAAGAAGTAGCAGACTGTAAACTCACTCTTTATCATGCTCGTGGACAGCTTTGGCGCTCGACGCTTTTTGGAAGCAAATAATATCCCCATCTTGCAACTCTGCTGCTTTCAGAGTTTGCTTTCCCTTCATGGGATCGATCATTTGTGGCTTGATCTCCTGTAACAAACATTAGAAAATACGGCAAAGAAGCATGAAGATAAAGCTTACCTCGTAGAGTTTGAGCTGGATTCGATCACCACTTGGTAATTTATCCGGCCATCTCATTTTTTGGAGAATTAACGGGACAAGATCTTCAACCTTGCGCTCTTTGCCAATGTAAACATGACCAATGCATTTCAGCGCCTGGTTGTCGATGTCAAACCATTTCAGGAAAAGTAGTATGCTGTCACTCTTTTGCGAGCCATTGTCCAGCTGGCTGGGAAGGCCAGGCCAAATTGGGTCGCCAGCCGCATCAACGTCTTCAGCTTCTTCTGCCCATAACCTGATTTCTTGTGTCTTTGTCCCAGATAACTTCTGGTGTGCCTGTTCAATTGTTTGGTTGACATCAGTGATTGGCTGGTCTGGCCTAACAGTCTTGTTCTGCCTGTTGACCATGAACCAGAATCGAATCCGACGCGGATCTTGACCGATATCTGCACCAACCCGGGTTGCCAGATCTTTAATGGTTGAGCTCCTCAGAACACGGAAGTTCTTCGCACAACCTGGCTCTCTTTCATCGACGTCGAAGGTCGTGAGATCTGTGCTAGAATGTTCTTTGAAAGTTCGATCAGTCATCACTCGTGCATTTAGATACAAGTGCTGTTCTTCTCGCTCCTTTCGCCGAGCTTCTCTCAGAGAATTTTCTTCGTCTAACTTCTTTTCTTTATGGATGTCAGCTAAAGCTCATTTTTATATTGGCCAAACTTACGGAGATGTTCTGGAGTGTCCTCTTTCGTGACCGGCAACAAAACTTGATCCAACCGGGAGCGGCGGATGTAGACAAGCATGTATGCGCTGTTCTGTCGAATTACTGGAGGTTTTTGGAAGGCTGGCTTTACTTGGCCATTCACATAGTCGACTTCGCCGCCAAAGTTGTCTTCTAGCACCTCTCGCATGGTCGCTCTTATTACCTTGTCATCGTCACATCTGTAGAAGCATCCGTCCTTGGTTGGCTTGATGAATGCATAATAGTGGCCAGCATTCAGATCTCCGCTGTGAACCAAGACACTGTGGAGTTGGTATATATATGGCTCAGATTTATCAGCATCCTCTGCCAAATAGGGCGACGCGTCGAATGTCTCCGGGAATTCGTAACGGTCGTTTGTCTTCATCGTCGCGTCTCGTTCCATATCATACTCAAAGCGCTTCAGTTGTAAATGTAGGACTTCCGGGAAGCTTTGGAAGATAACCCCTTTGTTGGCATCCTGTAATTTGAACACCTCCCCTGCGAAATATTGATTCTCGCCGTCCATCTTTTCAACCCCGATGTAGTCTTTGAAACTTTCCTCGATGTCTTTATTTCCAATGACATTCAATTGGATATCCCAGAAGTCTTCCACACGGCTGGATTCGTAGTCGACGTTAATGCATGAAATGTATGTCTTCACTTTCATGCAAAAGAGTCTTGGAAGAACATTTTCGGCTTCGGTGCCCTTCATCTTCTCCTCCATTCGCTCCATAAGTTTGCGTGAAAGCTCCTGGACGTCCTGCTGCTCGAAAATATGCCTGGTCTCCCACCCAAACGACTTGGTTAATTCGTTCGTGCTGACGGCTGTAGGCGAGGTTTGCAGTTGGTAAAAAAGGCGTTGAAGGGTATAAGCACTGTTAGCAAGATTCTCCTCGTCCTCTGTCGGTATTTGATACACGGCCTATGAATGTTAGCTTGTCATAGTTGTGCCCGCGAATAATATTCTAACCTTTCGAAATGCGTTGGTAAAGTATAGAGACTGAAGTAACGAGTTCAAGTAACACGTGGCTCCTTGATTTTTCAATCCGACATAGCCAGTTTCTTTCTTGGAGTCGTAGTTGTTGAACGTGTGCCATAGGACTCCAGTCTCGTCCTTCACCACGCGGACATATGCCGTCATATTTGCCGCTTCATTTTCGACAAGGGGCCTGCCAGATGAGTCCCACTCAACATTGAAGAGCTTTCGCAGCTCTACAAATCTTGTGAATCCCCAGTCCCCTTCTTCCTTTGTGAAGCGGTGATGAGCCGTATGAGATATGTACAGCGAAGGGTCGTTCGGATTCCACAGAACCAAACTGAACTGTGCACAGCAATACCAGTCGTCAGGCACTTTACCTTCCTCAAACCCCTGTTCCAGATAAAACGAGCAATGTTCAACATTGTTTCCAGAAGGGAACATAAGAACGCGCCTGTCAAACGTCAGCATCTTGACGACCTATCTGTCGGGAACTGTACGCACCATGGGTTGCCCCCAGCCTCAAAAACAGGGCCATGTTCTTTCCTCCCAAGTTCCGTCCACCGTTCTATGTTCCAGGTATGTACAGCATCCGCCAAAATTTCGGGATCTTCAATTAAGCGTGGCAGAACGACGGCCTTCATCGCCTCATCTGTAGAGAATAATTCAGTATCGCCACCCATTTTCTTTTTGAGAGTATTGAAGACATACAGTTATCAGCCGTTGGCAAAGCAGCAGCCTGCTCTCCGTCCTCGTCTGTGTTTATTATGGCGACATCGTCCTGCTCGCCCTCCTGAGGCTCAACAACGTATTCGTCGCCGTCGACTTGCATGCCAGTTGGAGACATAGTCTCTCCATCGAGTGCCTGATCGCGGTCGTAAGCTATTGAACATTCTGAAGACGATGACATGTCGCCTCGCACATTCAAAGGCGGATATGGAGTGGTAGGTGGGGTTGAAGTAGGCTGAGAGTGAAGTAAGAATAATGTTTGTACAGTACCTGATTCATGATGATACAGAGCGCACCAGCGTCACAAATGGGACTGCCGGACTTTCTGATTGCGCCTTCCCAAAAGGAATGATGGGAGCTATGACAGCAATGGTTGCCCTTGAAGCACGTATCTCGCGCGCAGAGGTTGTGACCAGGTCGATTTTGAGGCGGAAGGAAGTCGTAATGTGGATGCTTTTGCTCCAGGTTCGGGCTTGGATCGCTTGACTGCGGACAATGACGTCCAGCCTAGATATGTTGTATGTACTCGGTAGAGAAGCTGACAGACGCGGCGGTTGATAAAGACAACCTTTATTACTCCAAAATGCGCGTCAAAGGTTCACTTTTGTCTCGTACTGTGAATCAGCTATTGCAGATTGAATTATTGTATTATAATGCCTGGGGAGAGCAAACCGGAGCATGGATTCACAGAGCTACACAGTACTATATGGAGGCCTGGCGGCGTAGTGCGTGGGGTTAACCATAAATCTCTATTGGCGTCTGGGTTGATTGCTGTTGTGTTCTCAAAGCCATAATTCGCCCACAAGATATAGCGCGCACTACTGCCTATCCGACATCAAACCTATCAATTTTATAAGACTTCATACTATTATTCTTTTGTGCTATATAAATGTTTTTAACTTTGGCACGGTACATACATGCTACTTTGATTCTCGATTACCAGCTCAATCAACTTAACTTATCCGCCACCGCTGAGTCAGCAGGACCCCAAATGGTCCCCACCAAAGCTGCTCCTCTATTAGCACGTGAGAACGTGAGGGCGACCGACTACTACGTTGTCCTTCACTTTCTCAGTTGCTGCTTCGCCCAACCAACTTGAACAGATAAAGGCTGGCACAATATGAAATTTTTACACCTACATCCTGAACTATCGTAGCTCTACTGTATGTTACCCCCGACAGTATAATCTCTCGTCCTCTCTGGAATCGCCCCCGCCACTGGCACCTTCCCACTTCTGGACCTGACTGCGACTAGGCATCTGATCTGATATACACCTTGTTTTTACTGCCTCGCATGGAATCGCCGGAATGTTGCGCTCATATACGCGCCATGGCGGAAAGACAGCGTGGTTGATGAGGTCGTTGGCCAGACATCAAGGTTCGCGTGCGCTTCCTATCGGCGCTAGGTTGGCCACAGCTGCGCTCGTTTGCCCAAAACGAGGATTCACGCATGCAGCTCCTCCATGGAGGCCAGCATCTGTGCTGGACGAGTGAGCCTACCCAGTTATCGTACCTCTTGTATCCCCTTCTAACCCGAGCGCAGATGGGTTGCGAAAGAGGCGAGGCCTATCAGTCTACGACAGCTCATGGTTTTCGGGAGGTCATTATCAGAAGCTCGTTTGCTAAGTTCGGCGAATTATGTTCGAACAGAATTGCCTGTCAGGTATTCTATTATCAACTCTCTCACAGATGGCGTCAGCTGACCGCGAGCGGAGGCTTGCCCACAGGATACGAGACATGCAGACGTTGCCATACGTCGTTGTATCAAACCACCACATCAGTGAAGTATATGAATTATATTACCAGGCGTTCGAGAACCTTCGCCGGATTCCGGAAATAAAAACGCTCGAGGAGAATGAGCGGTTCTGCAAGACTATCAACCAGACATTGCAAGAACATTTAATCGTCATCCCAAAACTTGCAATGGGCATTTTAGAATGCCGAGACCTCATGAAGCCCGAGGACATGGATAAATTCATGAACACCATACTTCGCGCGGTAATCCCCCCTAACCAAGTAATGTCTGAGTCCATTGCTAAAATTATTGCCAGCGAATCTCTCGGCGTGTCATAGCTGAACAACACCTGGCGTTGACTGAGACGTATAATTCGCCCTGGCACTTTCCCGATGCTGCCAAAAATACCACTGATTCGGAATTCATTGGCGAGGTTTTTCTCAAGTGCAACGCCAAGGAAGTTGTGGAACGCTGTGGTAAAGAGGTGCAAAAACTTGCAAGGAGTGCATATGGGCCTGATGTTATATTGCCAGGCATCAAGCTGTCAGGTCATCAGGATGTCACGTTCCCTTATATCTTGAGCCATCTCGAATATATTATCGGGGAGCTCCTGAGGAATTCGATTCAGGCGGTGGTTGAACACCAAGGCCAAACCCCTGGAGGGGCGAAACCTCCTCCCGTCGAGGTCACAATATCTGAAGCTCCTCAGCACGTATTCATACGAGTCTCGGACCAAGGCGGTGGCATAGCCCGAGAAATCCTCCCATACCTGTGGTCATTCTCCAAAGGTCCCCGAAGCGAGGCCCGACTAGAAAACCTCCACCACGTGCCGAAAATGGCGGCTACGCTCCAGGAGTTGAGAGACCCGGGCGATTCATCCAGGCCAATACAGGCAAGCCATAATAATTCACTATCATCTCTATCTAGCAGGCCGCCGAATCTGCGGCTGGGGATGGGCCTGCCCCTGTCCCGAATATATGCCGAATACTGGGCTGGGACTTTGGAGATACAATCACTCCATGGTTATGGTGTCGATGCGCTTTTGCAGATATCGAAGCTAGGGAATAAGAACGAGCAACTTACGACAAGAGCAAGTATGGATGCTGTTTAAAAGGACGTAGCTACATAGTTTCGATTATAAATATTTAAAATGAGCAAACAAAATAATCATATTTTGGTTGGCATATCATTTGATTATTATGTAATAGTATTAAATATTAATTTATATAAGCCTAACTTAGCTATAATATTTATATTGATTTTATTTAATTCTAAATTGCAGTAGGTGCTCGTGCCGCTCAAAAGTCTTAAAGAGGAGCTGTATATAACAACAACAGCGATCACAGCAACTACAATTCAACTAGAGGCATTCAATCACTCACAGGTATAATTAGTAAGCCAGCTACTAACATATAGAACTAAAGAGATAAGCCCTATCAGCTTGAATGGTTGGTATTAATCCTCAGCTAAGTCGATCCCTCTTCAGACTCTTAAGCTTTGTGCGGTTGCTTTTTACAAGCGACAAACGCTTATTTGGCCCACCTCCTACCTCTCACATAGCTCCTTAATCCTCCCAACCTGGTCGGAAAGTCTCAGGGGTCGGTCTCGACTGAAATATGCACCTATCTGGGATCACTGGTGGTGAGATATCGGCGAGAGCGTCGGCGTTATACGCGTGTGCAGTATAATCTGATCTCGAGCAGAACCGTGTGGCCATCACCTTCTCAAACGCGCTTTCTATCCTTGCACGTCCTGGAAGCTACATAGCTGGCTCGCAGGATCCATAGAGGAGTGTTGATTTGGAATGCTCGGGAATATTTTTCACTACGCTATGAAGTGGGGAATGCTGTATTAAGAATTAATGTTCCAGATACGTTCTCATGGGACCTCTCAGTGGAAAGAGCATATTGAATACATTTAATCATTAAAACACATCGAATTACATCCGTTGTTGGCTAGCTAGAGAATGCACAGGCATAGCATCTCTCATCGGGAAGTATTACCGCCTCAAGAACAGTGACTAGCATAAGAGAAAAAAGAAATATTACGCTGCCATTGACTCGCTTGGAACGCTCGAGACAATACCGCGCTTTTGGATATCGTTTCCCACCCACTCCCTGAACTCTCACTCCAAGTAAAAATCAACAAGTGTCGAATCAATTGCGCCTTAACGGCGGCCGTGGCTCCGCACGGCGCTGCCCTGCATCTGCTCAAGGTCTTGCTCGAGCGACTTGATGGCAGCATGAGTACTCTCGAGATCCTTGTTGAGACGGTCACGCTCGCTGATGAGCTTGGCCTCCCATTGGCGGAAACGGTGCTCCTCAATCTTGACCTGCTCGGTGAATCTCTTCCTCAGGCTCTCCTCCTCCTCCTTGAACTTCGGGTTGTCGAGCTTTCTTGGTCTGGCTTCGCCGAACTTGCGAGTCTCCATTTGCTGAGCTCTGTAGGCCTCGTAGTGTGCCTCCTCCGTCGTGTGGATAAGATCCAGCATGTGGGTGCGGATCAAGATAGAGCGGAGCTTCTTGAAGTCGCAGTGGTCCTCATTCTCGACCTCGGCCACACCCCACGAGTATTGGCGGCCCTTAACGATGCGTCCATCACTAGTCTTAACATCCTTCTCGGAGCCGATGACGGCGAACGGCATGGCAGCCATAAGGCTCCTCGCGTGTTGAGCAGCAGGCTCATCATCCTCCTCAATAGGTGGGGTGTAGATCTTAATGCCCTGGGCTTCGATAACGGCACGAATCTATCACAAATTAGAATGGGGCGGGCCTATAAATACGTATATGAAGAATCGCATACCCTTTGCTTGAAGCGCGCCAAATCAGCAGGGCTGAGAGTATCCGCCTTGGCGACCACGGGGATCAGGTTGACTCTGGAGCTCAGTCTCTTCATCACCTCAATATCAAGCGGCTTTAGGGTGTGCCCAGTTGGTCGGATGAAGTACAGACATGCGTGGACGCGCAAGTCAATCTTGTCCACTCGGCGTGGCTGTTGCTCTTGCAACATGTAAGACTCATGCTGGTCATCCAAAAACTCGATAATAGGCATCCAGGAGTCGCGGTTATTGACATAGTCGCCGAAACCTGGGGTATCGATAACCGTTAAGCGGACTATATCAATGTTAGCTACAATTGCGATCTAGGCTCAAAATATTAATTACCCTTGAAGAACTTCTCCTCGAGCTCGGCCTTTGTGATCTCAATCTCTACGGTCTTGTCAACCTGCTTCGCGTGTCGGCGCTTGTGGTCTGCGTAGTTCTTGATCGTCGTAGAGAAGAGCGTGTTGATGAATGTCGTCTTTCCAAGTCCTGACTCGCCAGCAACCTGTCGGAAGCATGTATTAGCAGCCGATCAAAGGTATCGCAGCTTCATTTGTATATATAGTACCATAATAGTGAAGGCAGCTCCGCGCTTAGCAACGATCTTGTGTCGCTGATTCGGAAGATTGGCAATGCCAATCGGCGACGCGCTCTCAACAGCTGGGGCCATGGTGATTATTTGTTCGTGAGATCTCTAATATCAATTGCAAGTGGGAGATAATATTGGCCTCGGTGGTTGTAAGCGGATAACCTCAAATTCGAGATTTGGAGATAAAAGGAGAAGTTTAGACCCTTATGTTCAGGGGATGAAGCCGTAGATTTCTAGGCGCGGCTGCCCCTTTCGCAAGTTGCTGGGGTTATGCGGGTCTAGTACGGAACCGGGTAGTGTTGTCGGACCGGATTATCAGGGTTTCCGACTTATCGGAAAAAGTTGAACATTTGACGATAGGCCCACCGCAGATAGTAAATATCAGATCTGCGCATAACGATGCAGAGGTGACAATGAAGACGGAGTTCAAGGTAAGCACCCATACACATCTGAGGCTGGTAGAAATACTGATGTTATAGTTCTCAAATCTCCTTGGGACTGTTTACAGCCAGGGAAATTTACTATTTAGTCCGGATGGAACTTGCCTTCTCTCACCTGTAGGAAATCGAGTTACAGTCTTCGACCTTCTGAAGTATGCTGCCTTTCCTATCGTTCAAGGCGTTTGCTAACTTTAACAGCAATAAATCTCATACACTTCCGTTCGCCCACCGAAAAAATATCTCTCGCCTCGGATTGAACCCGCGGGGTAATCTCCTCCTCTCCGTTGACGAAGATGGCCATGCGATCCTAACGAACCTGCCTCGACGAATTGCTCTTCACCACTTTTCTTTTAAATTACCCGTCTCGGCGCTCGAATTCGCACCCTCAGGAAGGCACTTTGCTGTTGGAGTAGGGCGGCACATCGAAGTATGGCACACACCCTCGACACCCGATTCGAACAGTAGCGGCGAGCTAGAATTTGCACCATTCGTGCGCCACAGAGTCTACACTGGTCACTATGATACCGTTCAGAATATAAAATGGTCAAGCGACTCTCGGTTCTTTCTGAGTTCAGCGAAAGACCTTACGGCGCGCATATGGAGTTTAGACCCAGAGGCTGGATTCCAGCCCACCACATTGGCGGGGCATAGGGAAACTGTTTGCGGTGCATGGTTTTCAAAGGACCAGGAAATTATATACACAATCAGCAAAGATGGAGCGGTGTTTCAATGGGAATATATGCGAAATCCAAATGTGCCAGAGTCTGAGGCGGTTGACGAAGACGGGAATGAAATGATCGATGCCAACTCAATGCAGTGGCGCATCGCGGAAAGACATTACTTTATGCAAAACAATGCAAAGGTCAACTGCGTCGAGTATCACCCGGAATTGAACCTCCTCGTGGCTGGTTTCTCGAATGGTGTCTTTGGTCTTTACGAAATGCCCGATTTCAACATGATCCACACCCTCAGCATATCTCAGAACGACATCGATTTTGTTACGATTAATAAGACTGGCGAGTGGTTGGCTTTTGGAGCATCAAAGCTTGGGCAATTGCTTGTGTGGGAGTGGCAATCGGAGTCATACATCCTCAAGCAACAGGGCCATTTCGATTCTATGAATGACCTAGTCTACGCACCAGATGGGCAAAAAGTCATTACTACAGCAGACGATGGCAAGATCAAGGTGTGGGATGTCAATACTGGCTTCTGCATTGTTACCTTCACAGAACACACAAGTGGAGTCACAGCGTGCGAGTTTTCAAAACGAGGCAATGTCCTCTTCACATCAAGCCTTGACGGCTCTATACGAGCCTGGGATTTGATTAGATACCGCAATTTCCGAACATTCACAGCGCCGACACGTCTTTCTTTCTCATGTCTGGCTGTCGACCCCAGCGGCGAAGTTGTCTGTGCCGGCTCTATGGACTCATTCGACATCCATATCTGGTCTGTACAGACCGGCCAACTGCTCGACCAGCTCTCCGGACACGAAGGCCCTGTATCATCCCTGGCCTTTGCGCCCAACGGCGGCGTCGTAGTCAGCGGAAGTTGGGACCACACAGTGCGCATTTGGTCCGTCTTCAACCGGACTCAAACAAGCGAGCCTCTTCAACTACAAGCCGACGTCTTAGATGTCGCATTTAGGCCAGATTCGCTGCAGTTGGCTGTTTCGACACTGGATGGGCAACTTACGTTCTGGTCGGTCTCCGAGGCTGAGCAGCAAGCAGGTGTTGATGGGCGCAGAGATGTTTCGGGAGGTCGCAAGATCACCGATCGCCGCACCGCAGCCAACGCGGCAGGCAACAAAAGTTTCAATACCATCAAGTATAGTGCGGATGGCTCGTGTGTCCTGGCAGGAGGAAATAGCAAGTACATCTGCTTATATTCCGTATCCTCTCTGGTGCTTCTCAAGCGCTTCACCGTCAGCGTCAACCTGTCGTTGTCAGGAACCCAAGAGTTCCTCAACAGCAAGCTGATGACCGAAGCTGGGCCACTCGGCCTAATCGATGACCAAGGCGATGCATCCGACCTGGAAGACCGCATCGACCGCAGCATGCCCGGTTCAACACGCGGAGGCGACACCGCCTCGCGCAAAAAGAACCCCGAAGTCCGCATCACAGGCGTAGCCTTCTCACCTACCGGCCGCTCATTCTGCGCCGCGTCCACCGAGGGGTTGCTCATCTACAGTCTCGACTCCACGCCGCTTTTCGACCCCTTCGATCTCGACATCAGCGTCACCCCCGCTTCAACCCTCCATGTCCTGAACAAGGATAAGGACTACCTCAAGGCCCTCGTCATGGCGTTCCGCCTCAACGAAGCGCCTCTGATCCGCCAGGTCTACCAGGGGATCCCGCACTTCAACATCGGCTTAACGGTCGCTGAGTTGCCAGCTGTGTATATCCCCCGCCTGATCCGCTTCGTCGCTCTCCAAACCGAGGAGTCGCCGCATCTCGAATTCTGTCTGCTCTGGATCAAGGCGATTCTCGATTGCCACGGACAGTGGGTGAGTGATAATCGCGGGTCTGTGGAGGCGGAGATGAGGACTGTGAGTCGTGCTGTGGGAAGGATAAGGGATGAGTTGAGGAAGCTGGCGGATGAGAATGTGTATGCGTTGGATTATTTACTGAACCAGCCGGTTGTTAGCTCGGGTGGGGATAAAGGCGCTTTGGAGGGGCAGAAGGTCATTGGGGATGGGGATGAGGATATGGAAGAGGATGATGATGATGCGGAGTGGATTGGTCTAGATTAATTTTTAGAAACGGATATGTTCTTTTATGGGTTTAAACGTATATTTTTTTGCACACGACTTATCTATCTATAACCGGCCTGAGCTATGTGTATCTGCTCTCCTGAGACTATACTCCATAAACGTTGAGTTGGGGCATAGCTTTCTACCCAAGTTCTCAAGACTCCTAGACCTGTTACGAACACGAGACCACCCTGACCAGCATCACATGGATCTGGTCAACGGTGGGCAAGACTGAGTGAGCAACCACCCTCAGCTTCGCCCACACGATTGCCGCAGCTCCAGAATTCTACGCTCCAACCGGAGAACGTTCTCGACCTGACAGTAACCCCGACAATCGGATCACCAACATCCCCGAATGAAAGCAAACAAACTTACTCTGAACACAAACAATCACACACCGCCCAGCATTGAACACAAACACCGCCTCCAGAACGAAGGCACACAACACAGCCATCCAACAAAAACCAACATCAAATCCCCAGACCCCTATCCAAAAGGAGATATTCAACCGGGCCGCCACCCATTTCGCGGGGAATTTATGGCACCTCCAACAAGCTACATCATGGTACCACTGGCACCTCAAAAGGGACATCGACCTCGAAACAAGACACTTTGGCGTGAACCGACAGAAAACAGCCAACTTACCATGATTTGAGAGTGGGCGAAATCGCAGCACCAACGCTGTGACAACAGTGTGTGTCTGCCAGCCCCTCAAGACAGCAGACCTACCTACGCACCCAGGAGAGGAGGCGCAGAAGGAGCACTCGGGGGGTAACACAGCATCCCCTCCCTCTCCCCTCGCGGCCCGCACAGGAATCGGCAAAAAAAGCCAGTCCAGACGCATCCAACGCGGACGAACCTACTCTACGTAGAGTGCATTGTGCGACCAACTCCCTCGTCCGGGCTCCCCAAAAATAGTCCCAGCCATATTGCACGGCCTTGGCAGCCATCGTTCTATGGGCGAGGAATGTTCCATAGACCGGCGGGGGAGCTGTGGTGTGTGTGGTGACGCCGTGGGATGGCGCATCGGCGCGTCAGTTTGGGGGCCGCGCCCGCTTAAATTGATCGAGACGGATGGGGAGGGGGCGGGGGTGGTGCCTCCATGTCTTCGTTTGAGCGGGCGTGCGGAGGGGAACAAACTGATGATTTGCGGCGGCTTGATGGACTCTCTGGCTTTGACCAGCGAGTCGTGACGGAAGAGTGGGGCGGGAGAGGCGGCGCAGTAGCTCTGCTTCTGAGGGCCAATAGAGCGACGGAGGACCGGTGGGAGACGAGGTTCCTCTTTTGGGCCATCGTCAGCGTTGGTTGCTCCGGTGGCATTTCATCCTGGCAAGCGGAGTCAGAGAACATGTTGTTGTCCATAAAAGTTACACCGCAACGTGAGGCTGATGGGCGGCCCACGACTCATGTGGAGGGACTGGGCCCTTCCGGAATCTTGTTGGCTGGTGCGCAATGGAGCTTCTCCAGGCGCACCGGTATTTCGTCCCTTCAAGCGATACGGCACGTGCGTTTCAGTATCCACCGAGAGTGTGCGTGCTTTGCCCCCTTTCGAGTATCCGTCTTATATAATTATGCCTGTGCTGAGCAGTGAGACGAACACACCAACATGCCATCTGGCCCTCCTTACCTCACCAGCATCGCTCGGGCCCGAGATGTGTGCAATGCTTCTAATATGCTTTGGTGCAGGTACTGTGGGGAGGCGCGAGAGATATTAGACAAGGAATGGGTAGGGCCGGGCCGGTCCGCCATCCCACCTCCCACCACACCCACATCCGGAACCGCAACCGCGTTCGCATCCGCGGCCGCGGGGCTTGCTAGACTAGGGGTAGAGACTGTCAAAAATAGTAACATGAGATAAACATAGAAAACATAAAACAATTGTGAGACAGTGTAACTTCCGAGGACTGACTCCTTGGTAGAGGCGGTTCTTGCGTTAGGTTTGATGGCGGAGACAGGGGAACAGAGTTATCACAAAGCGACCTGCAAGTATTGCACGTTACTAGTATATGTAAGATACTGTATTGAGTTGAGCACGAAGCTCCTATTTAAGGAATAACTATCTGCTTATATAGACTTCGTTCTCTGGACCGGGAGGACCGCGAGGACCGTCGTCGTCCCTTCGGTCCGTACGTGACCTGGATGGTGGGGTAAACCTTGTTGGGGGAAACGTCGCGGTTGGCTCACGAGTCAGACAGTGGCGCCAGGCTATTGAAAGCTAGCTCGTCAGGGTCTTGAGGGTTTCCGCAGGCCTACAAATAGCGTGCGTAGGCCCGTAGATTAGGTTGTAATTCAATTGATTATATTATGTTGAATCCTCGGCCCGGAAGCAGGGATCAGGGCCCTGATACCGAAGCTGTGTCAGCCAGCTTAGTGATCCTCTGGATACTGGATCTTCTGGTTCTAAAGCTTCGATTCTGAAGCTCTAGGGAGGGTTTCAGGATCCGAGCCGCAAATAGGCACAGGAATAGAGCCGTGTAACAGTATATATATAGTAGTTAGAATAGCTTCAATTATAAGAATATGCATTACTAAATTATCACTTCAGGCGCCACTACTTTGTGAGTATATTTTTCGGTTTATATTCTCCTACTGCCACAATTCCTACGGATATTGTTCTACATATTATACTATTTTACTGTCCTCTACTGTGAAGCTTCTGCTCCGTTGCCCGAGGAGACTGATTACGGTTGTCGCAGATTACCACAAAAATTCGCGTGTCCTCCAACAAACCCTAAGTCGTAACAGACAGTTCAAGAAAGAGTATTTTCAGCCATCTTAGGCTGCTCCATTTAGCTTCCGGCGATGCTAGGCTGAAATCTTACTTATCTAATGTCTGACGCCTTTCTATATTTGTTTTACCTCTGTCTGGGGGGTCAAACGAACTAAGAGTGGGGTCTTCTCCCAGCCAAAATACTCAACCAGATCATCCACCCAATTTAAACAACTTTCATCAAGCGTTAACTCCAAGTTCCACAGAATTCTCGCCATAACCAGACGCAGCTCGACATAAGCCAAGTTCATCCCGATACAATTTCGCGGACCAACGGCGAAAGGCTGAGAAGCTTGCTTCTGGTCGTTTTTGAAAAGAGGATCGTCTAGCCAGCGCTCAGGGTGAAATTCATCGGCATGCAAAAAGAAATCCGGACATCTTGTCATGCTCCAATGCCAGATACCAACGGTGGTCTGTATAGATAAGAAGTATTCATTAGCCAATGCAATGGATACGAAAGTCGGAGGGGAAGGACATGGACAACATACATTTTCAGGGATGAACTCCCCAGCAATCGTAGCGCCGCCAACAGGAACCTGGCGCGGTGAAACTCCGGCAAAAGGGGGAAACATGCGCAATGCTTCCGTAATAACAGCATTGAGATATTTGAGCTGTCCAGTCCCCGTCAAAGTAATATCTTCTTCCCGAGAAAAAGCTGAACGAACTTCCTCGACAGCCTTAGCCAATATGCTGGGATTCGTCGCCAGGTAATACGTTGTGCCACTGAGAGCACTGGAAATGGTTTCCGCGCCACCAAGAATAAGGGCAGTACAATTCGATGTAATCTCAAGATCCGAAAGGGACTCGGCAATTTTGTCGTTCCCGACCATGGCTGTCATATAGTCAGGCCGGGTAGCGCCAAGAGCACGACGTTTGGCAATCTTAGAGTCAGTTAGCTGCTGGTTCTCCTGCAATCTCCTGCCGAGACCCTTAGGAGCTGTTTACCGAGTTAGTATGGTGAAAAATAAGATCACAAGATAAAAGAGCTTACTGATGAGGAGCAGGACTGGGAGGAAAATTCGGTTGATTCTCTTCAAGCAGTTTGCGAGGATGACGAATCTCGTTGTGTCGAAGATTAGAGAGACCCAGGGATGATGACCTCCGCTGTCGAGAGACCCAAAAGACTCTCCAAAGGTCAGATCACCTAATTTGCATTTCGAAATTAGCAAACATCACAAATCGCTGGCTTGAACAGTACGGAGAGAATCATTACCCACCAATAATATCAAATGCTGTGAAGCTATACCAAGCTTCGAGATTGATAAGCGTCTTGCCATCATCGCAGCGCTTGTAGAGTTCAGAAATAAGCTGATCCACATAACGTTTAATAAATGGCTCTTGCTTCTGCAAAATCGAGGCCGAAAATCCGCGCGACAAGATCCTACGCATACGTCCATGATCCTCGCGTTTCCGTACACCCAGTAAATTGTCCTTGAAGGCTTCATTGAAAACAGGCTCTTTGCTCATTTCCGCCTGCCCGTGTTTGCGGTGGCCGCCAATATCGGTCCAGGCAGAGACTGACTGAAACGCGAGCTCATCAGGGGCGACGCGTACAATAGGACCGTACTTTTTGTGTAAGTTGAGAATAACGTCGTGAGACTTGCCGCTGATGATGGCTCGCGAAACGCCCCAGCGGGTAACGGCCCAGAATCTTGGTCCCGGGAATTTGCTTAGTGGGTGGAAGTAGAGCAGGTAAATAAGTTTCACGATTAAAACCCATAAGAGCTAGAATATATGTTAACAATGCTAAAGTTGTTGAGTCGTAGACCTCATACTAGAGCAACAGCAAGCAACACTGTCGAACGGTTGGCGAATTGGTCCAAAACATCTTCAGGACACAATAGTGCCATTGTCGCTAGGTGGTGGCGATGCAAACAAGAAGCAATTTCGTCAAACACACAATTTCGGTCGAGGAATTGGAAGCATATGTTGGGGCTGGATACAGTCCGCAATCATAACATAAGACCCTACTTTCTGGAAAGGCTTCGTCTAAATGAACCCTGCTTTCTTAGTGCTTACTTCTTGGTGCTTACCCACCATGTACGTTTCCTAGGAGTTCCTTTCCTAGTGCTTATATGCCAGTCACATCCCACATCAGGACTATCAGCGAATCACTTCACAACAGTTGCATGGGAATCTGAGACCTGGACCTGCCAATGCCATCATGCTGCGTTGGGCAGTGGCCGGCAAACAGTTACGGACCTGATTTTTGTCGTCCCTTACATATTCTCCTACCACCTCTTCCAATAAACGATAACAGGACAGTCGCCAACATGGAATCCACATCAGCACGCGACCTGTCACTCCCTGAGAAGGACTCCTCAAAAACTATCGTTAGCACTTCTGATAATAGGGATGCATCTGTTCCAGAGGAAGATGCGTACCTGAGCGGCTACAAACTCGTCGTGATTCTGACAACACTATGTCTGTGCAACTTCCTCGTGGCAGTGGACACTACGATCCTCGCTACGGCTATTCCAGTCATCTCAGAGCAATTCCGTTCTCTCCAAGACGTCGGCTGGTATATCTCGGCCTACCTCCTTACCAACTGTGCCTTTCAGTTTATGTACGGAAAGCTCTACACGCTTTACGCCGTAAAACCAATTTACATCGGCGCCGTGGCCATATTTGAGATCGGGTCCTTAGATATGTGCGGTCGCGCCCAACAATGCGGTATTCATTCTCGGTCGCGCTGTTGCTGGACTTGGGGCCGCGGGAACCTTTTCGGGAGGTAAGTCTCTGGACGTCTTGCTCTGTTTCTCACGCTTTCCGTCTTCGAAATCTTTTTAGGAAGGCGTTTAACTGATGATGCAGCTCTCATCGCAATCGCCCACTATGTCCGACCGGAGAATCGAGCTGCATATTCTGGCATGATCGTTGGCATGTATGGAATCGCATCTATCGCAGGACCCTTGATCGGCGGAGCCTTTACTTCTCATGTTACCTGGCGTTGGTGTTTCTATATCAACCTTCCTATCGGAGGCGTCACTTTGGTTGGCCTAGTATTCTTTTTACATTCTCCAAACCAACCCACGCCTACCGACGACTCTTCTACCGGTCTCTGGGCACGCATCGCTAAATTCGATCCATTAGGCGCGATCTTCTTCCTTGCTTCGATCATCTGTCTTCTCATTGCTCTTCAGCTAGGAGGAACAACCTACGCGTTCTCGGACGGCCGGATCATCGCCCTCTATATCTTGTTCGGTCTTCTTCTCATTGCATTTATCGCGCTTCAATTCTGGGGAGGTAAGAATGCTACCATTCCCATAAGCGTCTTGAAGCAGCGATCCATACTTTTCGGTATGTTTTACATGTTTTGCGTGGGCGCTCACTTCTTCGTTCTTGCCTACTTCCTTCCCATCTGGTTCCAAGGCGTCCGTGGAAGATCAGCTCTCCAGTCAGGCATCAATACGCTGCCTATTCTTCTCGCGCAAACCATCTCTGTTGTCCTAGGCGGTGTCTTCGTCTCCTCAACAGGCTACTACATCCCTTTAATGTGGGCTTCTGTAGTGCTGACTTCGGTTGGCGCCGGCCTTCTTACCACCCTAGAGGTCGACTCTGGCTCAGGCAAATGGATCGGCTATCAGATCATCTACGGTATCGGCGGCGGTCTCGGATACCAACAAGGTATTACTGCGGCGCAAACCGTCCTTGGACCAACCGAAGTCGCTATCGGTATAGCCCTAATGGTCTTTGTGCAGAACCTTGGAGGCACGATTTTCATTTCAGCAGCAAACAACGTGTTTGTCACCAGACTCATCAAGAATCTGGCTAGCATGGCTCCTGATCTGAATCCCAAGGCCATAACTAGCGCGGGTGCGACGGGCTTGAAACAGGTTGTGCCGCCTGCGGAATACCCATTGGTGCTCGTCGCATATAACGGTGCTGTCATCGAAATATTCAAGATGGGCTTGATTCTCGCTTGCTTGTGTGCTATTGGCGCGGCAGGTATGGAGTGGAAGAGGGCTCAGACGAAAGAGAAACCGAAGAAGGAGGGTGATATTGAAGAGGATCAAGCGAATGAAGTCGAGACGAAGGGGCGTCAGATGATCGTTGCTTGATCTAGCGGTTGCGTAAAAGGAGGTGGGGTTTTGCCCTGGGACATTATCTTTGAGGACTAAGGACTTGGATGTGTTTTACTTTGGCGAGGGAATGGAGTGACTATTTAGTTTGGGTTACGTGAGCGTAAAGTGGGAGGACGAGGTAGGAAATGAGGTGTGAGAGATTGATTGCAATGTGGCGAAGGAAGCTGCCTCTTTCCGTTGTTCTTATATACACTACCTAGACGTTTTAATAAACCAACGATCACATTTCACCGGTGTTCACAATGGCGCAGCCTTTCCAACTTCCATACTTAAGGGATTCCAAGGAATTACCTGCACCTCTTCCCTCTGTTGATGAAATTCATGCGTCACCAAATATCCTTAAGGGACTTGAAGCTTGGGCAGACAGGAAGGTTGTGAGGGTAGGTGAACATTTTATCGCAAAATACAGTCCTTACAACGATCAAATAGAAGGAGAGAACCTTCTATTCATTGAGCAAAACCTTCAAATATCGGCTCCTCGATTATATGCAATGTGGAAAGAGCCTGATGGAAGGCTTTATATTGTCATGGAATATCTTCAGGGAAATACACTCCAGTTTCTGTGGCCAAATCTTCACGAACCTGACAAAGTCCTCATTCTCTCAAAGCTACGAGACATTTTTAACCAAGTACGCACCCTTCAGTCCCCTGGCTTTTTTGGGGCCATCAACAAGAGCCACATGCCACATCATCTATTCTACTCTCCAGCGTACGATCCGAAGATATCCGGCCCCTTTGGAAGTGAGAGTGACCTCGTTCTGGGGCTAATCTCGAAATCTCGGCTTAACGCAGAAGACCGCAAAAGGCATTCTTATCTGGCTGATTTCTTCGAAAACCAGCTGTTGTTGGATCTTGTTGAGGACGATCGCACATCTACATTTACCCACTCTGATTTACAGATGAAGAATATTCTAGTCAGGGAGATCTCGTCACAGGAGCTTTCGCAGGGGAAAGACTATGATGTGTCAATTGTGGACTGGGAATCAGCGGGGTGGTATCCTAGCTACTGGGAATACGTCGCAGCCTTTTTTGCGTTTACGTGGGATAGTGACTGGTCCAACAGGGTGGCTGATATTGTGGACGCCTGGCCCGCAGAAGCGGCAATGATGAAGATGATATACCAGGATCTGTGGCTCTAGAAGCCGTCTCATCATCGAAGTCTCATACTCTCAGAAGATCAAAGCGATATTTCACTTAGCCGACAACATAGCACAAGGGAATTCACGGAAGATAAAACCCATACAATTAACAATCCTTCCTGAGCCTCTTTGATTGCTTCGTTCGGATGAACCTTCATGAGATATTACGTGACGGATCTGTTGGAGAAAAGAGGACGGGCACCGTGGGATACGGTGGCATTTTGGCCCTAAAAATGACGGCTTTTCCCAGTGTTACTGTCAGGTCCCCCAATTGGTGCTTGGCGTGAGCCAGTTTTGCCTCAGAACTCCGACGCACTAGGTTTTGGGCCCAAACCCTTCTGCTACTCAGGGTGTTTGGGTAGGTCCTTCGAATAACATAAATAATAAGTAGGCTCCGTAGATAGTGTAGTAATTCAATTGATCTTTATATTCTATATACTGTTGTTACTGTGAAGCCTTCTGCTCCGGTGCGCCAAGAGACTGATCACGGTAGTCGGGGATTTACATACTATATTGGCTGTGTATCTCCGTACCTTACAATTACTCTCAACAATCACCGTCGCGCGTGGTCACGTGCTTCTGTCGGCCCACGCGCCAAGTCGCACAGTTTGTATGGATTTCCAAGGTCCCTGGTGCAATATATGTTGTGGAACAAAATCCGTAGGATCCGTGTTTCAGTTTATATTCTCTACCTACTGCCACGGCAGTAGGTAGAGAATATAAACTGAAAATATAGTCATGAAGCAGTAGGGCCCAAAGTGATAATTTTGTAATGCATATTCTTATAATTGAAGCTATTCTAACTACTATATATATATACTGTTACGGGCTCTATTCCTGTGCCTGTTCGCGGCTCGGATCCTGAAACCCTCCTGGTTTTCCTAGAGCTTCAGAATCGAAGCTTTAGAACCGGAAGATCCAGTATCCGGAGGATCACGAAGCTGGCTGACACAACTTCGGTATCAGGGCCCTGATCCCTGCTTCCGGGCCGAGAATTCAACATATGTCATTAACTAAAACTAATATCTATCGCCAAAGCGAACTCATCTCGTATGCACATGCTTGCTAGCCCTAAGATACAATGCAATGATTTCCTCCATCACCTTGCCTCAAACTCTTTAATTCGTTCAGAGTGTATTGTATCTTCCTTGTCCCAGGAATTCTCACCCATTGGACGACCCTTCCATTTCACAAAATATTCAATTTTTCCTCTTCGTTCTCGCTTCTTTAGTAGTTCCACACCGAAGTTCCCTTGATAGCTCGCCTCAAAATTGTCAACGAGATCCGAACTGATGTTGTCCTGTTCCTGCCACGTATTTTTATCATCACCAAAGCCTTCCCATTTCACGAGGTACCAAACCACATTACGTACTGTCGACTTGGCAACCACGCTTCAACCTCGCAGATCTCATATGTATCGCTTTCCACTCCTTGGCTGCTACAACGCGGCTGCACTGCTGTATGATCTTTGTTCCCATGAGCACTCTTGGTGGAGTCGGCAGTTGATGCTAGGAATGGTGTGGAAGGAAGAGCACCTCGAAGCTGTGGATCAACTAAGTCCATTGAAAACCCTGATGAGCATATTCTCTTGCGTTTCTTGTACTTCGACGTCTGTGAGCGGTTCTTCAGCTTTGTGCAGTAGTGCACTTGCAATGTCGCTTTAGTCCTTTCCAGGAAGTACTCTGCTATTTCGTCCCATGGCAATTTGTCTTTCTCTTTCAGCTGTATCAACAGTTCGTCGTCATCTTCTGAATATGTCGAATGCCTGCCAGGCCTGCTCACAACTCGTTCTCGCAAATGCGGCCGCTCCCTGTCTCTATCGCCACAAGAGGCGCTGCTGAAGACATCTTGTGCCTGCTCTATGTCGAGAGGAAATGGTAACTCCTCCTGGGAAAATTTAAGGCAATACACTATTCCCGACTGGAATGTTTGTAGTATAAGGGAACCACGGATTGGTATCTCGTGACTCTCTAGTGGGGAATCAGACGACGTCGCTCCTGTCTTTGGAGTTGAGACCTCAGAGCCATAGCAAAAGAAGCCTCCTTCACATTGCTGGAGCTCATGTGTGCAGAGCTCTCTGTGCTTTTTGCTCGCCTCGGCCGTTTTAGTCTCTGCTCCTGTATCTCAGAGCCAGCGGTGTCGCTATCATTAACGTGATCTCCACCATTAATAGATTGACTCTTTGGAGGGAGATCGAAAGAGACCGCTGCTCCTCCCTGGCTTAAGACATCCCAGGAATCGGTTAAAAAAGTAACGTCTTTCACATTGCTGAAGTTTGTTTGTGCAGAGTTATCCGTGCTCTTTGCCCTCCGCCGTTTTAAACGCTGTGGGTGCTCTATATCAGAACCGGAGCTATCATTGGCATGGTCTTCACCATCAGTAGCTTCTATGCTTCCATCTCGATCATCGCTTCGCCTCACCCCAGAGCTTAGTTCAATCGTGTCCATATGGTCGTTCTCTGCGGAAATGTAATCATTGCTATCCCTTCTTGATTTTGGTTGATATTTATCGATCTTGTCTTCGTTCGTTGGGATTCCTTCGGTCACAGAGATAGCACTGGTTTCTTGAACACTACCCAAACCAGATAGACCCTTTGTCTCAAGCTTGCTCATGTTTTGAGAGGCAAGCAATAGCACGTCATTCACCTTTGTCGTAGTTGTCTGTATCGTCGCATCACTTAGTGCAGCTTGAGAACCGGAGAGATCTACTAGGATCTCCCTCTCAGCATCGTCCAGCACTCCACTGTCGCCCACATCACTGTCCAAGAGGATAGGTTCATCTGAAAGACATGAGCAACGCTGTCATACTGACATTCGTTGCACTCAGTTTGCTATCAAACTCAAGAGCAAACTTAGAAATCTCCTCCTCAAACCTACAAGTCACTATACATATTTTGGCTTGTCACACCAACAACAAGAGCACTACTACTCAACGATTGCTACAACCCTCTATGATTCATTACACATCATTGCTCCTTAGTTACTGGGCCGATATGACCACATAGCATATCTCTACAACCCTCTATGATTCATTACATGACATTACTCCTTAGTTACTGGGCTAATACTACACATGACATATCTCTATCAACTAGAAGCCTAGGAACATGAACGATAGCTCCAAAAGCTTCTACAACCCTCTATTATTCATTACACGTCATCGCTCCTTAGTTACCCACAAGATTGGTTAAGATATTGTCACGGTTCACCAAGGCATAGGGCGCCAGTTGGGTATTATGAATTAAACTCAATCTAGAGAAGAAAGGAAAGAGAAGAGGAGCACTCGAGCAGTGGCTCGATCTATATACAGCTATTGTGGAGTTAATTCTCTTTAGCGAGACCAGTTCTGAGAATTCACTTCCACAACTGAAGACTTCGCTCCAACCCCGGAAAGCTCCCCACACCCCTGAACCCCCACTCGAGCTGCAAGGCGCACTTGATATCGTAACAGTTATGACATAATTTGTCTATAGGGGTACTCTGATCTTGGACCTCCTTTCACTTCCTATAGGCTAGGAACCTAGGAGATGGTTCTATGGGATTCTCTTACGTCGACTACAGTTACAAGCCTGGTTAGTCATGGAAAGTCTTGGAAAATGAGAGAACTACACTCCTTTAGCATAAATAGGATTGCCCTTTCCTTAAGAAAGGGCAAGCAGACAATACAGTAAATCGACTATCACATACTTCCACATCTTTTCCAAGCTTCCAAGCATTCATCTTGTTACTCCTTGTTTCTGAAAAGTCAGTGAGGTGTTAACCTCTGACTTACCCCTGAGTTCCCAGACTCAACATTTGTTGCAACTTGTCTGAACCACTTCACTACATCACACACCTGATTGCTGCATTGTGGAATAGTCTAAGCTACAACCCTTTGGCTCTGTTTCCTAAGACAGTGTGTTGTCTTAGTAAATTCATCCCTTCCTTGGGTGGCTAGATTCTCACATCTGGTGCACCCACCATTACAAATACCTTCTCACTCAGAAGCTTGAGAACAAAGCAAACACTGTGGTGGCCCAATTCAACAGTCTTTTGGAGGAGCTTCGGGCTTTAAAGCCCAAAGCCTCAGCTTACCTTTGTGGTGCTGAGCCTGAACGGTGGACTCTAGCAAAGTTTCATGGCCGTCGATATGGCCACGATACTTCAAATATTGCAGAGAGCTTTAACAAGCTCATCCGCACGGATCGAGAGCTCCCAATTGTGGAGCTTCTCGATGCGCTTTGGCACTGGGTGATGGCCCAGCATGCTGAGCGCTCTCTTTTGGCTATGGAGGCCATTGCCCTTTGGCAATGGCCTCCTCTCATCACCGGGTTGGTAGAGGAGGGGAGGAACTGGGCCCATTGCAACGGGCTCCAGATGTCCTCTCCAATGGAGGCACGGGTAGTCCAGCAGACAGCAGGATCTACCTCGTTGACCTAACGGCAAGAACTTGTTCTTGCCGTCGATATCAAGAGAATGGCGTGCCTTGTGGGCATGCCATGGCTCTTATCTTTTAACAAGGGAGTCAATTGACTCCCTTTCTTCCAACAGATGTGTGATGGCAGAGGCAGTATCAACTGCCTCTGCCTCCGATCTCTGTCGAGGGTCTTCTCGGACCAAGTCTGGCACAGCAGCAATGACTGCCCCAAGCAGCAGAAGTCCTCCGTGATCCCGGCGATCCCGGCGTCCTCGAGGACGCCGGGCATCCTCTCTCCGAACCCTCTCTTTTCGCGGTCGGCCGTGGGGAATTCGGGTGACCGGAGGGTCACAGACTCCACCCGAGGCGTTAGGGTCTACCACGCTGCGGCACCTGCGGCGAGCCTGGGCATAATAGAACGTTTTAGCAGTCTCCGACAGGCTCTGGCTTTACATTGCCTGATCAGGCCATGCCAAGCTGAGCTAGAATATATTAGTATTAGAGCATACGTAACCCTGTTTAGTGCTTACTGTAGTCCACTGTAAGGCCTAAATAGGCAATTCTAAAATGAGTTGGAATCGAGGCTTTGAAAAGTTGTGATCTTCATGATTTTCGTGAGTTCACCTATGACATGACAAGGGAAATTACTAGTAAATTGTCTGTAATTCTCCCATTCTGACCATACCCTCTACGGCGTTCCCTTTGTAGTACCCTATGTGACTAGAACCCTTTGTTCCCTCTGTAGAATACTGGCCTTTGATAAATTTTTCTACTTCAGTAAGTGCTTTGGAACTGGGCGGGTGGGGGGAGTGGTGGTGGCCGCTGGAAAAAGATACATCATGGTACGTCTATTGCCATACAAATATATATGTAAATGGAAGAACTGATATGTACCCTTTTGCGACTGCCACACTGCAAATTACCCCTATTCGACCACCACTTTCGTTATAAAATATCTTTGCAACGTAGCTACTAGCCTTAGCCACCAAGGTTACAACCGCTAAGCAGACAACTGTATGTTATGAGGAATAGCCTCACCTTCCTTCCTTCTTCTTTTTCTTCTCTCTTTAGATTCAATCTAGATTACTTTTCCTGGACTGGCATCATGACCTCTATGACCATCGTAACAACAACAAGGCAGAATCAAAACAACAGAATCCTCGGTCGCAAAACAAGACAGAATCCAAAACAACAACACAGAATCCTCGGTCACAACAAGACAGAATCCAAAACAACAACACAGAATCCTCAGTCGCAACAACACAGAATCCTCAGTCACAACAAGACAGAATCCTCCGTCGCAACAAGAATGCTCCGTCGCAACAAGACAGAGTCCTCGGTCACAACAAGAGAGAATTCTCGGTCACAAAACAACAAGACAGAATCCTCAGTCACAACAAGAATCCTCAGTCGCAACAAGACAGAATCCTCGGTAACAACAAGACAGAATCCTCGGTCACAAAACAACAAGACAGAATCCTCAGTCGCAAAACAAGACAGAATCCTCGCTCGCAACAAGACAGAATCCAAAACAACAAGACAGAATCCTTGGTCGCAACAACACAGAATCATCCTCAGTCGCAAAAAAGACAGAAATATCCTCAGTTGTAACGAGGTATTTCTAAGAGCTACTATCTACCAATACATGAGCATTCCCGTCCACATACTATACACCGGAGCCCTCCACTCTGGTTAGGATTCATAAGCTCTTCTCTCTTCTTTGTAGGATCATCGTTCCAGCCGACTAAATATCGCATAATAGAGTTTGAGTCAAAATTTGTACTCCATCCACCCCAATCGCATATCTGCTGTAGACCCCATCTCTTTTCTGAATATAGCCATTGACAGCCACCTCTACGAAAAGAGTGTGTTCCATATAGTCGAAAATCTACGCCTATATTGAGGAGATTATGTCGAAAATACTCTGTAAATGTAGAAGCATCCTAATGTCTCGTTAACACTGAGGTATTTTAATATATAAGATAGTCATACTAAGCTCTTATCACTTGCTATAACCCGATCATAGGCATCAATACGACGAAATATAAAACCACTTGTTATCTGTGAGACTTTTATCCATTGTAAGAGTGCAAGAACAGGGTCAAGGTGAGGTTCTTGTGGGTTAAGAAATAGGTGAAATGGCTTAATTCCTAATTCCTCATTAGTACTGAGGAATTTAAGTAGTAGAGTACACACCTCCATATAGGTTTGTCTTCCAGAAGAGAAGGTTAAGTTGAATTTCACCTCGTTCCTCGTTGATAACGAGGATATGATGACTTTGAATTTGTAATACCTCGTCAATCCGAAGTAGGCATTGAAATGCAAGTGTATAGATAGCTTGTAGCATTATCCTACACTTCTGACCACTCCAATAATATGTATGCTCGTCATGAACGAGTTTTTTACCAAACTCAACCTGTGGAATAGCTTGGTTAAACTTCCACATACACTGTAAATCATATGAAGTAAGAGCTCTTGCACTTGTAGAGACTTCACCAGCATGTGTCTAGAATCTATTAGTATAAAATACCTCGATGGGAATGAGAGAATTTACCTTCATCTTATTTAGGGCTCTCATATAGCGGGAAACTGTCGTTGACACGAGGGATTTCCTTGCCAATTACCACTCTCAACAACTTGAAGCCATTCCCCATGACCACACTGACGTGGACATATATAGGCAAACCAAAAGCTTATAGCTGCCCTCATTTTTAGAGCATGAGAGTATGTAGCAGCATGATCCTTCGTTCCTGACGAGTCAACTAGCTTCTTTGTCCGGGATGACCCTTTTCCAACTTTCCTTACCCCTTCTATTGTACTTAGGACTTTGCAAGCATCCTGAATCCACTCACAAATATATTGTGGACACTTATTAGAAGCTGTATTAACACCATCCTCACCTTGTATAGGGTACTTTGCCTTAATAAATATAAGGAATTGTGTATGCATCCTAATATCTCGTTAGAGATGAGCGTTTTATAATAACTCGCTACCTACGAGGTATATGCAGCATGTGTTGTAGGTGCTAAAGCAGCATTTGATGACTGCTTAATTTGGCTTGTACTTTGACGACAACTGAATTCTTCATACGCAGTCTGGGCTTGTAACTCATCAGCTAGTAATTGCTCTGTTGCTGTAATTAGAACCTCTGTATCTTCAAAATCCTCGTTCTCAGCGAGTGTATCCATCTTAAAGCTTTAATAGTAGGTAAAGGGAAAGGTAGGTAAAAGGAAAGGTATGAGGGAAGGTGCTCTATATTATATAATCTGTCTAGAGCCTCATTAGATTCCTCGCTAAGGATGAGGAATAACCCTAACTCCTCGCTAAAAACGAGACATTTGTACCATCCTATTAAATATATAACGTACATGTATAACGAACTGGCCAAACAAGCGAACCGGCCAAAATATCGCGACCACAATACAGGAATTGCGATAAATCCACCACAACACTAGAAATCAATTGAAACTACTCAGAGTCCTCTTCCTCAGATGTGTCTATTACAACCTGACAAGTGCGCGCATATGTCCAGTCCCACCACAATTGCTACAGCGACGTGCGTGGGTTTCTTCCCTTGGCTTCCGACCACTACTCGCCCTTATTTCTTGCTCCACTTGCTGTACAACATCCCTCTCATCCTGTAGCTCCTGTGCTACTTGTTGACTAAGTGATCCTCTTTGCTGTAATCGTGTTTTTTTAGCTCTCCGGCGCTTGCTTAGCACTTCATTTGCCTGTCGCAGGTTCTCGTTCTCTGCCTTCAACAATGCTAATTGATGCATTATTTGCGATGTACCCTTTGTAAACTGGTCAACAGCTGTATAGATTGAGGTTGGAGAGCTATTTTGATGATGCGCAATTCAGTTTTTAATGAAGGTAGACTGTGATGAGGCTTCAATTGGGTTGTTTGGTGTTTGGGAAACCCAAGGTTGAGCAGTACCCGGGCGGGAGCTTGGAGGCGTTGGTGTCTTTAACTTAAGATCAAGTGTAGAGATCACACTCTCAGGGTCGAATGGGAGAAGTCCAGCACCCTGGAAGCCTCCTTGAATGTTGCTTTCTGTCATTGCAATGTTAAATGCAGCATAGAAGGCAGGAAAGAAGTCATCCTTAGTAATATGAGAAATATGAGCCTGCATCATATCTTCAATTTGCCGACCATAAGCCCTTTTTAATGGGCTAAAACAGCCAACATCAAGTGGCTGGAGTAGATGAGAGGAATGAGCAGGCATACAGAGAGTTATAATGTTGTGTTCTTTGCAGTACTCCTCAAACTTGTCCGAGTGGTGGCTCTCATGACCATCAAGGACTAATAAGCGATAACCACTGACACTCCGCAGCTTTGTGTGCTTCTCAAAATGCTGAATCCAATCCATGCCTCTCTCGTTTGTAGTCCAGCCATTTTCAGTAACAGCAATTACCCAATCGCTTGGAAATCCACTATTCTCATACCAAGATGCAAGGTGGTTTTTGCCTGCAACAATGACGAATGGCGGCACTGCCCAACCCTGAGAACTAACGCCTTGGATTACTGTAACCCATTCCCGATTGCCAGGCTGTACCTTCTTTGCTTTTGCCCGCCCGTCTGAGCTTGTTACAACAGTAGCAGTTGAGATAACACCCATCATAAACCCAGTCTCATCAAAGTTGTAGATATCTGCTTTATGGATACCATATTTCGCAATTGTGTTATGCACAAGCTCAAACCAGCCACGTATAAGTTCTGGATCTTCACACTTAGCCCTCTGGTAGTCGTATTTGCGCTGGAAGCGTGTCCGGAGCTCTACACGCTGCTTAACAAAGTTTGAAGCGCAACGCGACCCAACGCGTGGCGCGTCGCGTGTTTCAAGTAGTCGATTTGCCATATCTGCAACAATAGACAACTGAGGAGGAAACCCTTTGGTAGCTAGGTCGAGTATATATTGAACAAGGACTGATTCCTCTAAGTTAGTTAATTTCCGTAAGTTGGCTTGAATATTGCGTCGTGAAGGTATGCCTAATAAACGACGGCCTAGCTTGCGGTGGTCAACAGAATAGATCTTAGCAGCAACTCGAGGACGTAACTTTGGGTCGCTTTGTATAGCTTGGATAGCTAGCATCAACTGGCTTTCATCATTTTTCCGGGGCATGTTTTGTTGTTGAGTAATTTAGCATTTAGTTGGGGGGTATTGTGGTCGCGATATTTTGGCCGGTTCGCTTGTTTGGCCGGTTCGTTATACATGTACGTTACTTACTTTTATTAGCACCCTCCCATCAACCACCATTAAAATGGTGGAAAGAAAACGAACTACTATTTCTAGGACTTGGTGCTATTGTCATACTGACATTCGTTGCACTCAATTTGCTATCAAACTCAAAAGCAAACTTAGAAATCTCCTCCTCAAACCTACAAGTCACCATACATATCTTGGCTTATCACACCAACAACAAGAGCAATACTACTGAACGATTGCTGCAAACTCTTCTACTACATCTGTTTATGCTACATACATCACGGCATATCAGTTGGACACTCATTGAACAAGTTATTAAGAAAATCTCATACGAGCAACAGCATT